TGCCTAATTAAATTAGAGAAAACTATAATCAATTTTCGCTACATTTACAACTCTTACACAAAATATTAAAACTTGCTATTTCAATGTAGCAAATTTATCTGTTTCTTTTGTAAATTTATCTAATTCTGTAGTACATTAGGCTAAAAGTCCCCTTATTTCCGGTCATTGCAACCATTTTTAGTAATTTTTACAAATGTGGGTCTCTCCGTGTACTAATCTGATAAATAACTGTTTTTCATAAGGTGTTGATGCAAAAAGTACATTATTTACTAAAAATTAATTAATTTTTAACTAAAAATCCAGATTTAGCATTTTAAATTATTCAGTTAGTCAAATTTAATAGATGACATTTGATTTTAACACTGGGACTAATAATATTTCTTACAGCCCTATTGCGTTTTCCCCAAAACTGCACAGATGCTTCGGATGTACCTGAGCTCTAAAGTGACAAATTAGTCCTGTTGAAAGCGTCAAATCGTTTGAATGATAAGTGCTAAATGTATTTATTTTATTTCCGTTTAAGTTAAAAGTGTCTTTAACCCTTTAACGCCCAAATGTGCTGATTTTTAACTTCACTTTCAAGCTCATAATATTAAAAGAAAAAAATTATTAAAAATTCTACAAAGACATATTCATACGTTTTTGGGGTCGCTCTTTCGAATGGCATGGTCAAAATTTCCAAAAAGTGACGTTTAACCCTTATTTTTTCAAAAATACTTAAAAAATACAAGATTTTGGAAAGTAATTTTTTTTATATCCAATTTTAGTTGTCATATCGATTTTTCCAAGTCATCTAAGGTATAAAAAACGTGTTCCCGATAGTTTTAGTTTGAAAATATGCTTTGCGTTTTAAGATTTTTGGTATTTTTTTATTCAAAATTGCGCCTGAAAATAAACAATTTTCCAAAATTTAACACAGGATGGATAATTTTCAATTTTCAAAAGTTCATGAAATCGATTTAAATTTGTTACTTGGGGGTTTTCGGGGTCGCTGACTACGAATCTAAAGTCATATTTTTAAAATTATAAATGGCGGATCTATTATATCGGATGACAACATTAAAACTTCATTTATTGGCTTCAAATGTGTTCCTCGGGGGTTTTCGGAGTCGCTGATTACGAATCTGAAGTTAGATTTTAAAAATTTTAAATGGCGGACGACAAAATATATTAATGCTAACATAATTTCATCCGCTAATAATTCTGGCGAATCTTACTTGCATGATGGCGATGCTAAATCTGAGCGTAAGTCCGATGATATTTTTTCTGAGGCAGATAATGATTTTAATTCCTTGTTAGGGGCGCATGAGCAGTTGTAAAATTCCATTGTTAAATACCATTTTCTCAACTCCAAATAATTTTTTTATCACGCTTTGATCTGATGATTTTATATACAAAGGACTAAAATCTGATCGTTCGATACACTGAGAAAACTGGAGTATTGGACTAAACATCTGGAGGGACAAATCGTTGATATTTGAGAGTTAGCTATTGGATAACAATCTAAATGTTCAAATACACCATTGACAGATATTCGTGCCATTTCTCTTGGAGGGAAAATGAGTTTATAACAGAGGGACAAATTAACCATCTTGAGAAATCCCTTCCTTATCCGGCGCGAAATGAATAAATATGGCAACCTAACCCCTAAATTAAATACATAAAATGTCAGAAAAATAATTTCGCGCGCATCAGATCGTACACATTTTCTGCGCAACTTTTAACCCTCAGATATAATGGGAGAGAATATACAAGTAGATTTCCATTATCAATTCAAAATTTATTTTAGAAGGACTATTTAACTCTCTTCATAAGCAAAGGAAACATACACTTTTTGAACCTCTGAATTTGACACTCCAGTTTTCTCAGTGTAAAGACAAATATTTATTTTTTAATTTTCTGTGCCATTTTGAAAAAATAATTACCCGTTTTCTTGATTTTTTGTTAAATAAGCAAACAATTTTAAATAAACTAATTTATTTGTAAAACTGAAAGACCAAATTACAGTCCATTAATGTACAAGTATTTAAAAAAACATATCCGTTAAGCGGTTTTCGATAAATTGGTACCTATAAGTGATCTGACATTTTGAATTTTTAAAATCTGACTTTAGATTCGTAATTAGCAATACCGAAAACCCCCGAGTAACAAATTTGAAGCCAATATATAAAGTTTTAATATTGTCGTCCGCCATATTGGAGCTGCCATTTAAAATTTTTTAAATCTGTTTTTAGATTCGTAATCAGCGACCCCAAAAACTTCTGACAATGAGTAACAAATTTGAAGTCAATACGATCAATTTTTAATATTGTCGTCCGCCATATTGGATCCGCCATTTTGAATTTTTAAAATCTGACTTCAGATTTGTAATCAGCAATACCGAAAATCCCCGAGTAACAAATTTGTAGCCAATATATGAAGTTTTAATATTGTCGTCCGACATATTGGAGCTGACATTTTGAATTTTTTAAATCTGCCTTCAGATTCGTTATCAGCGGCCCTAAAAACCTCCGAGTTACAAATTTGAAGCCAATACGATAATTTTTTTATTTTGTCGTTCGCCATATTGGATCCGCCATTTTGAATTTTTTAAATTTAACTTTATATTCGTAATCAGCGACCCCGAAAACCCCCAAGTAACAAATTTAAATCGATTTCATGAACTTTTGAAAATTGTATTCATCCTGTGTTAAATTTTGGAAAATTGTTTATTTTCAGGTGCCATTTTGAATAAAAAAATACGAAAAATCTTAAAACGCAAAGCATATTTTCAAACTAAAACTATCGGGAATACGTTTTTTATACCTTAGATGATTTGGAAAAATCGATATGACAACTAAAATTGGATATGAAAAAAAATTACTATTCCAAAATCTTGTATTTTTTGAGTATTTTTGAAAAAATAAGGGTTAAACGTCACTTTTTGGAAATTTTGACCATGACATTCGAAAGAGCGACCCCAAAAACGTATGGATATGTCCTTATAGAATTTTTAATAATTTTTTTCTTTTAATATTATTAGCTTGAAACCGAAGTTAAAAATCTGCACATTTGGGCGTTAAAGGGTTAAAGTTGCAAAAAATAAAAAACGACTTCGTTAATAAATAGTAAGTAAAAAAAATATATTTTATACAAATGAAACATGATTAAAATCAATTTAAACAGAAATAACATGAAATAATATGGCTTCATGGATTTTCAGAAAATAGTTACTCCATCTCCTGTCATCTTTCATCATGTTGGCAGTGGTTATCCTTACATGCAATTGTTAAATATAAAATTTAAATACCTATTTATATAGGGGAGAGTGGGGCAAGACGGGGTAGCGGGTAAGACGAAGTACCGGCCTTATTTAACAAACGAATTAACCAATCACGATTATATTTTACATAATACTGCACCGAGACAATAGTTTCTTGTTTACAAAACCTAAAAGTCATGAGAACAAATCTTTTATCTGTCTTACTAAAAAAACTATTTTTGACGATTTTCTTGTCATTTTTTCACTTTTTTTAGGAGGTGTTTATTACTTAATAATAACAGTTAATAAACTGTATAAATTTTTTTCTAACTGTCAAGGGTTACAGAAGAAGGGAAGCATATGTTTTTTGTTCTTTGTTGAATCGTAAATTGTAGTAATTAATTGTTTTATTTAATTTCGTAGGTGCGGGCAAGATGGGGTAGGGGAGAGTGGGGCAAGACGGGGTTCAAAAATTAAGCAAAAAAAAGAGAAATAAGAGAAGTTAAGAAAACTACTAAAATCAAGACTGAATAAATTAAAAGTGACCAAAAAGAAAAAAGTTTGTCAGGTTAAATCATCAATTATTAGCGATGGTAAAGTGGAAAATACACCTTGTCTCTATTGTAATGGTTATTATTTAGACTCAAATGAAGGCTGGGCTGCTTTTTTTTCTGCGGCCAATAGGCTCACTGCAATTATGCATGAAGATGAAGATGCAACCTTTACTTGTAAAATTTGTCGACAGAAATAGGTTGCTTTCTTGAGTACCCCATCTTACCCGCCGGTGGGGCAAGATGGGGAGATTTGCAATTTTTTCAATATTATTAATTATAAGCTTTTTTAAGAAACAGATGGCCTTTGTACGCCTTTTTTACGGAAGACTGATTCCCAAAGATGATAATTAAAATTAATAATAAAGTATATATTCGATAATTTTCGTTTTTTGCGCTTTAAACCTTAAGTACCCCGTCTTGCCCCACTCTCCCCTAATATTGTTGATAAGTGCGATTTTAATTTAGATTTAGTATTAATTGTATTATATTTTATTATGAAACATCTTATTTAATATTAATTAATAAATTATTTTAAAAATTAATTGTTTTAACAATGTTTATTAACTATTAAACCCCAAGTATATACAACACTATCATTGATGATTCATCAATGATTCTGACAACAACACTATTCAGTTGCTACAACAACAAAATGCGATTTTGAGAACAAAACTGTTTGAATATTTACGGACTTATAAGCTACTGAATATAGGTCTACAATTACAAGTCCAAAATTTCGAAAATTCATAACTCGAAAATTTGGACAATTAAATAAAAATAAAAAATACGTATCTGTTTTTTTTTCGATACAGAACAGAAAAAAAATATTTTTGGCCGATTTTAAGAGGTCGACTGAAAAACTTTTTTTTAATGAAGCTTTTCTGTAAGAGAACGCCATTATGAAATTGTAGCTTGCAAAGCTCCTCTCAACACTGCTCAACACTGATCTTGTTCCTTGAATAATTGAAGTTTTTGATAAAATTAGTTTTAACATGTCAAAAAGCATATTTTTGTCCATAATTATTTAAGGGTAAAACCAAGTATTTGGTTAAAATAATTGATATGTTTATTTTTGTACAGAAAATTACTTTTTGATATCTGGTTTTAAGCCAGTTTCCTCTGTCCATATAATCTCAAAATATTCTCTAAGTACGTTATTAGTGAGCATAAAAATTTGTTGATAAAAGTGAAAAAAACGAAGATTACATGAAAAGTGTAAGTGTTCAGGAAGAACAATGCATCGCAAAAGAATGGGATGTGCTCACGTGTATTATGAAAACGACAATTGAATCAAGACTGCCGGTCGTTTTAGAAGTGGGGATATCCTCGACAGGCGATCAGCATCCGCACATACTGGGCTTTGTTGGAAGAACTAATTGCACTCTACCTGTTCAGAAAACGACTGCGTTTTAAAAATATTTTTTAACTATATTTGTCCACATTTTCTTTTCATTTTTGTGGTGTGTGTGTGTTTGAATGCGAGAAAAATCAATTTTCCGTTTGTTTCGGGGCAATTAATTTGTCAAAATGAGGAGAGGTTCGCTTATGGCCACCTATGCCATAGAAGGTCGACGGAACTGTGAGTAGGTCTTTAATTCTTCAATGTCAGAATCTTAACAAACTATGTAACACCCATTCATAAAAATTTCAAGGTTTCAGAACCTGCAATTAATAAATAAATTTATGCACTTCTTAAAAGTAGCTACATACAAATTAACATATCTTGTTTTGGTGAATTTATATTTTTTTTAGAAAATTGAAAGAAGCATTTTCATTATTTTTCTAGATCGAAAAAATTCCACTATAATATTAATTTGTTAAAATAAATTAACTACCCAGATAAAATCTTTTCCGTTGAAGAGCGTGCAATGGGCCCGCATTAAATCAAAAACATTGATTGAATGCAATTAATCTTCCTGGGTGCAAATCCAAAGATGTTTCTTTATTCTGCAAAATGTTTATGCAATTGAATGCATTTATTGACATGCCTTTTGTTCTAATTATAAAATGCGGAACTCTTATGCAAACAAATTATGTTTTTAAAATGAAAATATTTACTGTTTCCTTTTTGAATGAAAAACAAGTTTATATACATCAATTTGCTACGTATCATCTTTAGAATATTTCTTTAGACAATATTGCCCGAATATTGTCCATAATGATTTCCTCAGCGTCGTATTTAAGAACAGGGATCGGTAAAATTTCAATCCATCTAAATATTTCAGGGTTGCCACAGGTCAGAGAAGTTAGGGAAAGTAGAATTGGTCAGGAAAATCAGGGATTTTTATTAAAAGTACTAGAAAAATTAAATTTTAAGAATTCACAAGAAAATTCTGAATTTTTGTGTGTTTTTTGTTTGCCTTATAAACTATAAGAAATTACCACGTGTCCCAATACAAAACCTTCAATTTTTTTTCTATTTCTCACAATAATTTATTTTTAAAAAACTTACTTCTTGATCGTCATAAATGGATGAACTTTAAAAGGTTTTAATTTAAAATTTTATAAAATTTCAATTTTTACTGAATTCAATTAGAAATTTTAAAAAACTTGGATTTTTGAAAAATTTAAATAATTCAAATTCTTTTGAAATTAGTTAAATTTTTAATATATAACTAAATATTAAAAATAACGTATTTATAGAAGAATTTTAGTTTAAAAGATTAACAAAAATTGACTTTTGGATTAAGTTACAAATAATTGCAGAAATTGTATTATTTTCAAAATGTAATAAAATTCTTCTCAGAAATTCAATTATTTTCAAAAATTATAATAAAATTCCAGTCAAAATTCCAATTATTTTCAAAAATTTTCTTCAATTAAATGATTTTCAATATTTACTATTTTAATAAAATAAATAATTATTTACAAATTTTTTGTAAAGTTCTCCGTATTAATTCAATTATAATTCAATTATTTAAAATTTTGTTGATAAAATTCTTTTTGAGAATTCAATTTTGAGAAACATTCAATTGTTTAATAAATTATTTAGTTTCGTGTCATTAAATAATTGAATTCTCGTAGAATTTTCTAATAAAAATTGATTTAAAAATGAATTTCAGTTAACATTTTTAGATAATAATTCAACATTAAAAGCATTATAGCATAAATTTTTAGAAATAAGGAAATTTTTAAATGGTTACAAATTAAAATCTTTGAACATTTGAATTTTTCACACTTTGATTTTCATAATTAATTTTTTTTAAAAGTTTAATTGAATTTTTTTTTAAATTATTTAAAGTTTTTATTTTCTACTTTATATTGAATTGAAGAATTTCTGAATAATCGAAATTTTGTACAATTGAATTGCAAATGAATTTGAATATTCTCAAAAAAATAATTTTCGAAAATTATAAAAATAATTGATTTAAAGTAATTAATAATTTTTATAATTAATTTTTTTGTAAAAGTTTAATTGAATTTTTTAAAAATTATTTAAAGTTTTTATTTTCTACTTTATATTGAATTGAAGAATTTCTGAATAATCGAAATTTTGTAAAATTGAATTGCAAGTGCATATTCACACAGTCATGTTTTATAATAATATTCTTGTAATTTGTTGTATTTCAAAAGGTTTAAATTTGAAATTTTTGTGAGAACCCTGTTTTTGTTGTTTATAGGCCTTCAATTTATTTTTATGACTTTATATTATAAAATAAAGATAAAAAAATAAATAAAAATAAAGAAAATTTGATACCCTAATACGAAATCAATTTTGATTAGCTTAAATTCTACTGGGTTACTTTAAAACTTCAACTTCTTCCACATTTTTTTTATTTTTCATTACAAAATTTTTTAAAATCTTTATTCATGACTTTGAACAATTAACCGTAATGGATTTGAAAAAAAATTAATATTTTCAAAAAATAAATTTCAAAAGTGGTCAAAAATAAATTTTATTTTCAGTTTTTATAATAAAGAAAAATTTAGATTCCAATTAAGGCTAGAAAAATATTTTCGCACCATGGCAACTTAAATATATTAAAAGTTTGAAATTTCACGATTTCTTCCATTTAATAAACTAATCAGCAATGATCTAAAATCGAATTCAACTTCTGTTAAACTATATAAATTATTAATAATTTAAATACTAAAAATTATTTTTCTCTCAATTTTATACCTAAATAAAAAATCTAATAATAAAGGGGTTTTCTTTTGATTTTTAACTTTTTATTAACATTTAACCCAAATGATCCAACATAATATTTGTGTTTAACAATTTTTTTCATTCATTTAATTATTCAATGAAATAATATTCTGCTCTTATCAGTTTATATTAGGCTCTTATTAGGCCATTTATATTAGCAATAAGTAATTTTAATACTCATAGAAGTGCATTATTTTTACAATAATTAATTTTACGGTGCGTAAAGATTACTCGTTTCAGAGTGTGTTTGAAACTGGGATATCAATTTATTTACTTCCAGTGCATTGCAGTAACATTTCGATTTTCAGTGTAGCTTGTAAATTTCAGTTCGATACAAAATATGTTGTACTATATAGGAGGGCAGGGGACAGTAATTCAGTATGGATGAAATAATATTTCTTGCATTTTATTTTATAGTTAAATAACCCTTTTGTGACCTCGAGAAACTCAGCGATTGGATTTTGTTTGAAACTTGTTACTCATGGGGTTTTTGGGCTCGCTGATTACGAATCTAAAGTTAGATTTTCAAAATTTTGAAAATTCAAAATGGCGGATTCAATATGGCGGACATTTTTTTCAAAATTGCTCAAATTTATAAAAAACTTGTTACTCGGGGGTTTTCGGGGTCGCTGATTACGAATCTGAAGTCAGATTTAAAAAATTCAAAATAATGTCCCCGAAAACCCCCAAATAACAAGTTTTGAGCAAATTTGCTGCAGATATGAAAAAAATGTCCACCATTTTGAATTTTGAAAATCTGACTTTAGATTCGTCTTCAGCGACCCCGAAAACCCCTGAGTAAGAAGTTTTAAGCGAATTTGAGGATATTTTGAAAAATTATATTTCGTTATTTTCTTATAAATATTTTACCTATTGTTTATAATAATTATAATCGTACTACGTAATTTATTATTTTTTTAATTATAGCAGCGGACATTTGAAATAGAAAAAAATTTACCGCAACTTAATTGGTTGACTTTTATAAGAATAACATAAATTTTTCTAAGTGGGACATAATGTCCCGGAGGCACGAAAGGGTTAAAAAAATTTCATTTACAGAAAAGTTTACTTTATCTTCGACTTTTGAAAAATGTTAAAAAAACAAATTTACCTATGGGTATTTTGTGATTTAAATTTGTAGGGTCTTTGAGTGCAAATATTACAAATCTGATGTCAAATTTTTCACGAATTCTAGTATTATTTTTTTAAAGTTCAAAATGGCGGATCCAATATGGCGCGAAAATATTCAAAAATTGAATAAAATTTAAATAAAACATAGGTTCAAATAATTTGTATTTTTAAATTATTATAACATTTTGCAGATAAGACATTTTAGAGATATGCCCATATGAATGTAACATATCTATAATCCATAAATTTTTTTCGCTAAATTGGATATGAAATTAATTTTTTTTAAATTAATTTTTTACAAATAAAAGTTGTTTTAACAAGAGTAATGTATTATTTTATAAAGAGGAATTATTTTATTCAAATTAATCAAGTCTCGAGGAATTTTTCATCATTTGTTATACGTGTGTTATCGAGAAACATTGGTTAAATTCCAAATTGTAGAAACATCGTACAATGTAAAAGTTTGTTATCACTAAAAATACTTAGCCTTAGTACTTCGCACGTGCTTTATTACTTGGTCATGTACCGAGTCGAATGTTATCGTTAGAATAACGATTATACGAATGCTGATGTTAATACGTGGCTGACTCGTGCAAAAAGAACCTTGAGGTTACATATAGTGATAAATAATGTGATTGTTCAGCCCGTTAATTATTCTCAGTTTTAGCAGGACCATTTATGACATTTATGATTTCCGTATTTGTCAAAAGAAAGTTAAAATTACATATATGTATAATGAATGTTTTATATACACCAGTTTAACAAAAATTAACAAAAATCGGAACTGGGCCACCTGAAACAAACTTTTTAGTTTTGCATTATGTCAATACATAATTTGTTACAGCCGGGTGGTACAAAAACATTCCCGGAATGCGTTTTCAAAAGTTTTAATTTTTCAATTAGTTATAAATAATTAAACTTTATATTTCATATACATTAAAAACTAAATTATTTTATTATTCATCATAAAATGTTCCAAATCGATAAAATTTACATTTTCCATAATATATTTTGACAAATATTGCATCGTAAAAAAATTCAAAAGTGCTTTTACATAAAAACGCAAGGTTGACACCTTAGTGCCAAAAAAGTGACCACCTTAGGGCCAGGACAGTACCACTTTAAAAACAATGCTTTCAAATTTTTTTTTACCGAAATTTAACTATGTCTCTTTTTGAAACAAATGCGTTTAATTATCCACGTCTATAAACATTACCAAAAACTTTAAATTTTCTTCATAAACTTTTTTTCATACATCAGAAACACTCAAACATTATTTTAAGGGGAGGGACTGGTGCAAATTCAACTCATTTAAATGTTTGTTGTTTATGGATGGTCAATGTTTTTTCTGACAAATTTTGGTATTTAATATTATAATATGATTGGAAAAATTAAAAAAAAAATTAATTAGTTAATAATTTTTTAAATAACTATCAAAATTTTCAAAAAATAAAAATTTTAACTACTCTCGTAATTATTTGTATTATTTTTCATTGCCAATTTTTTGTATACATTTAATGATTCTGTACAATCAATCGTATGGATTTTCAAAGATTTTCATTTTTTCAAAAAATTGAATTTTTTGAAAAATAAAAAAAATGTTAAATCACTAAAAAATTACTTTTATTAATTTTTTATAGTGTAATATGATTTTTAAAAAAAAATAAAAAATAAAAAAAATTTTTTTTGATAAACATGGTAATTTTTGATTGGTTCAAATTTTACTACTAGTACTTAAAAAATTCAACTACTTCCATATTTTTTATTATTTTTCGTTGCCAAACTTTTTATAGGCTCTTTACGATTCTGAATAATCAATTGTATAGATTTTAAAAAATTTTGTATTTTTTTTTTTAAATAAAATTTTTAAAATGGTCAAAAAAATTTTTTTTTAATTTTAACAATGTAGAATAAATTTAGATCCTTAATAATGCTAGAAAAAAAATTGGTACCTCTCAACAACCGTAAATATCGAAGGGTTGAAATTTCACCGGTCCCTTCTCATAATAGGATTTTTTTGATTCATTTTCATAATTAATAAAGCTAAAAAAATAGTCAAAAATTGTGACCTGTAGAGTGATTTGAAACGAAAAAGTTTCAAAGTTTTTAATTGTTTATGACTAATTGAAAAATTAAAATTTTTTAAAACCCATTCCAAGAATATGTTTTTGTACCACTCGGTTGTAACAAATTATGTATAGGCATAATGCAAATTTAAAAAGTTTTTTTCAGGTGTCCCAGTTCAGAAGTTTTGACATTGTCGAAATAATTTATTGTAAATTTTTTTTATTCAAGAAAAATTTGATTTGATTTTCAGCTTCTCATATGGCACAATTGGAGATCTCGAACAATCAAACAGTAGATAATATAAAATATAATAGAGAAGGTGGCTGTTTTGTGTCAAACAAGAAATTTGCTATATGCTTTCTTCTTTTCTTAGTTTGTATAAGTGGCGCAGGATTTGTAGGTCACCGTTTTGCATTTTCGCCAAAAACGAAAGTAAGCTTTATTTTATAAAACATTGAACACTTATTTGATTACTCAGTGGGTACTTGGACGTCTGAAAGGCGTCTATTTTGTTTTCGGAAATTCTGGGAAGTCCTTAGAACGATTTAAATATATTTCATTCACTACACTCTCTAAGTACCAATACAATAATTATTACATTAAAATTTTGATTCACTATTAATTATTTTAATACGTAATAATTGTGTTGTAAAATATAGTTGAGTCTAAAATTATAACCATAGAATTAATTTAATTTGAAACAGGTTCATGATCCTTTGGATTTACTGGCGCTTGAAGAAAGCGAAGAAAATAATAACTCAGATAGCAAGTTTTCACTTTCACAATTCGTTCTTCCTTTGAGGTATCACATTATTTTGACACCGATTTTTCAAATGAACAGAGTTTCTAGAATTAAAGGACATATTATAATTGAATTTCGACAAGATAGTGCAAAAAGTTTAAATAGATTTGTACTGAATGCGCAAAATATAAATCCATTAAGTTATCGATTGACGAGAGAAATGCATTCTAAAAATGAAAAGAAACGGGAAGTAAAGGAAGAAAATGATTATGAAATTTCTGCTGTAACAGAAACGGATTCAATTGCATCTATGGATCATACTACAATGCAGGATTACGTAGACAGTAAGAAAGTTTACTAGTTACAGTAGTAACACTAATGAAATATGTAAAGTCATATGTAGCATTAAACTCTGTAATGCTTCTGGGAGGTTGTTAATATTACCATACCAGTTTTATTACTATAATATGAAAATAATCAGTTTCATTAGTAATGAAAAGTGACTGTGAGGTCGTACTTAATTGACATAATGTTAATATCTCTGTTGGATTTTCGTTAAATTCGTAAAGGATTGAGTAGAAATGTAAATAAATATTAAAAATGTTTGTTGTTGTAATTTAAAAAAATGTTTATTGTAAATTTGTAAAAAATGTAAAGAATTAAGTGACATCATTATACAACTAGATCCATTTAGTGTTTTACAAAAATTCTGACAGTTTAATTACGCGATTTATCAGTCCTTCACTGCAGAAACAAAATTTTATTGTACTTACCGCTTAAACGAATTTTTTCTAATTCATTGCATTTTACTTTCTAAAAAAAAGTAAGTCAACTTTAGGTCTAAAAATCAGTTTCTTAAGCTGAAATTAAGCAAATATTTTGACTAATTTAAATTATTTTAGTCAAAATTAAGCTTATAAAAAAATTTTTTAAGTGTCAAATATTGAAATAATGACTTTAGTTGAAATATTATGATCGAATATAAATTATTTTTGAACATTTTTACACCATAAAGAAAAATTATACTGTTTTTAATTATTTAGATGTATCGTATAAGCAAGATGAAGAATCAACTTCTGTCACACCTGACACTACGACTAACGAACATAAATTATTAAAATTGGAGGAATGGTCGACAAAATCTTTTGTTGAAAAAACAACTTCAGAAAATAAAGAAGAAGAAAATGGTACTGATGTGGGTAGAAAATTGAAAATCGATTCAAGGAATGAAACATTGAATGAAATTGGTATTAGCAATTACGAAGTCAACGAAGCGAATAAAGTTCATATCATTAATTTACTAACACCTATTGAACGAGGCAATTACTCTTTAGAAATTGAATATGATGTTACATTCAATAATAGTAGCCTTACTGTGACTAACTTTACAAGAGATGGTAAAAACAGGTGACAATTTAAAATTTTAAGGTTTCTTTGAAGTCACAGAAAATTGTGAGGTATTAAAAAGCGTTGCAGATTAAATTAACAGCAAAAAAGATTAAATTAATCCATTTTGGTGTTAGTTTCTATTATGAATGAAAATTTAATTCAAATCAAAACCAAATCGAAGGATTATTAACTAATTTACTAACTTACTAACTTAGTTAGTTAATTACTTAATTAGTAAGTTAGTAAGTTTGTTAGCAACTAAGTCAGTAAGTTAGTAACTAAGTTAGCTAGTAAGCTAGTTAATAAGTAAGTTAGTAAGTTAGAAAGTTAGTTAGTTAGTTAGTAAAATAATTAGTAACTAAGTTAGTAACTAAGTTAGTAAGTTAGTAACTAAAATAGTTAGGAAGTAAATTGGGAAGTTAGTAACTAAGTTAGTTAAGAAGTTAATTAGAAAGTTAATAACTAAGTTAGTTAGGAAGTAAGTTAGTCAGTTAGTAACAAAGTTAGTTAGTAAGTTAGTAACTAAAATAGTTAGGAAGTTGATTAACTAACTAACTTAGTTACTAACTAAATTCCTAATTAACTTCCTAACTAACTTAGTTACTAAGTTAGTAACTTAGGAAGTTTGTTAGTAAATAAGTAAGTTATGGAGTTAATTAGGAAGTTATTTAGTAACTAAGTTGGTTAGTTAGGAAGTTAGTGAGTAAGTTTGTAACTAAATTATTGTGTTATTGTGTTAATTATTGTGTTAAATTATTGTGTTAAATTATTGTGTTAATTATTGTGTTATTATTGTGTTAACTAAGTTAGTTAGTAAGTTAGTTAGTAAGTTAGTTTGTAAGTTAGTTAGTAAGTTAGATAGTAAGTTAGTTAGTAAGTTAGTTAGTAAGTTAGTTAGTAAGTTAGTTAGTTACTAAAATAGTTATGAAGATAATTAGGAATTTAGTAACTAAGTTAGTTAGTTAGTTAGTAAGTTAGTTACTAAAATAGTTAGGCAGTTAATTGGGAAGTTATTAACAAAGTTAATAAAAAAGTTAAGTTAAGTTAAGTTAAGTTTTATTTATTACTAAGTTAACTTAGTTACTAAGTTAGTTAAGAAGTTAATTAGAAAGTTAATAACTAAGTTAGTTAGGAAGTAAGTTAGTAAGTTAGTAATTAAAATAGTTAGGAAGTTAATTGGGAAGTTAGTAACTTAGTAAGTTAAAAAGTTTGTTAGTAAGTTAGTTAGGAAGTAAGTACCGAAGTTAGTTAAGAAGTTGATTGGGAAGTTAGTAACTTAGTAAAATATGAAGTTTGTTAGTAAGTTAGTTAGCTAGTAACTAAGTTAGTTAGGAAGTTTTTGAGTGAGTTTGTAACTAAGTTATTTTGCTATTAAGTTAGTAACTAAGTTAGTAAGTTAGTAACTAATTTATTAAGTTAGTAACTAAGTTACTAAGTTAGTAAGTTAGTAACTAAGTTACTAAGTTAGTAACTAAGTTACTAACTTAGTAACTAAGTTACTAACTTAGTAACTAAGTTACTAAGTTAGTAACTAAGTTACTAAGTTAGTAACTAAGTTACTAAGTTAGTAACTAAGTTACTAAGTTAGTAACTAAGCTAATAAGTTAGTAACTAAGTTAGTAACTAAAGTAGTTAGGAAGTTAATTAGGATGTTAGTAACTAAGTTAGTTAGGAAGTTAATTAGGAATTTAGTTAGTAACTAAGTTGGTTAGTTAGGAAATAATTGAGTAAGTTAGTAACTAAGTTGGTTAGTTAGGAAGTAAGTGAGTAAGTTAGTAACTAAGTTAGTTAGTAAGTTAGTATCTAAGTTAGTTAGAAAGTTAATTAGGAAGTTAGTTAGGTAATTAGTAACTAAGTTGGTTAGTAACTTACTTACTATTGTTCCTGGTGAAGCTAAATTCGTTGAACTTTTACAAAGCCTTGACTGTGGTGTTTGATTTGAAGTATAATTTTATTCATAATAAAAAATAACTCCAAAATGGATTATTTTATTCCTTATTGGTGTTAATTTAATTCCAGAGGATTTAAACTGATGCAGATTATTTTAATCTATTCTGGTGTTATTTTAACACCTCACATTTTACTGTGGTGTCTTAAATTTGAAATTATTATTCTTGTTGGTGATTTTTAAAGTTCATATGTATAATAAAATTATATGATTTTATATGATTTTTATCCAATTTCACTTTTTAAAAATAGTGTTAATTAAAAAGATTTCTTTGTTTGTCTTTTATCGACATTAATTTAGTTCGATAAAATAAAAATAAAAACAATTGATTGTTATAAGCTAGATATTAGATGACAATATTTTTATAGCAGTTTAATTGAGCATTACTTCACGGTTACGATGAAGTACTAATTATTCCAGAAGTGTTTTTTCTTTAGAAAATTTATCGATATTTAAAGAAGGTTTCTGTGGTAACTTAATGAAAGGTGGCAAAAGAAAAAAAAGATTAGTAAAAAGACTTTAAAAATGTTGACTTTAAAAATAGCAAACTTTAATTTTTCTTTTGATGAGTTTTGCTTATGTACCTAATTCACAAATATATATAGAAATAAATTAAGGGATTGAAATAAATATTTTATTTTAAAGATGGTTAATGGCAACTCAAGTGAAACCTACCTTCGCACGTCGACTTTTTCCAGTTTTTGATGACATGAATTTTAAGGCTCATTTCTCTCTGTCTGTGTCACGTCCAAAGGATATGAAAATTCTCTCAAATATGCCACTCAAAATATCGGAGGACTCGTAAGTAATCCTCAAAATAAGTTTAAATAAAAATTTTTTCGATACTTCATTCAATTTCTAAAATTTGCAATTAAAGAATATATTTCTTATAAAACTATGCATTAGTAAATGTAAAAAAATTAAATTTATTAGTTCCGATGGACAAGTCATTGACACATTCGAAGAAACTCCGCTAATTTCGCCTCACAATTTAGCGTTCATTGAAGGTAATATCGAAACAATTGTAAAAACCAATTACGGTGATGGAGAGAATTCATCAACGATAACTTTTTGGGGTGATGCAACAAGAAGTTCACAAATTACATATTTGTCCGACAAAATTGATGCTGTATTGGATAAATTTGTCAATCTATTCTCCATCACTTATCCTATGAAGAAAATGGATTTGATTGGTCACCCTATGATGCTAGATGGAACAGGAAGTCCGGGATTGATATCAATTAAGTGAGTCCTTCTGAGTTGAAATTTTTTAACATGTGTTCACCTTGTTTACTCTATCTCTTTTATAAATGGCTGATTCTCCACGTAGAGCATAATTTGGTTTTTTCTATGTTTTGAAAGGTGAGAAGGAAATAAATTTAACATGGAATTGTTATTCCAATTTTTGTTTTATAAATAATTTCTGAACTAACAATGCCCTAAAAATGTAATTTCTCCTCATTTAGGGACAAATTTATGACAAAAATAATAACAATAAATTGTTTAAAAATTTTTAAATTTTTTATCATCAGTAGATGTTTTATTCATGAAAAATTGCACAATTGAGTAAAAACTAGAAATTTCTAGCCCTAAGTACAGTTTATGAAAAAATTTATGTTTTATGTTTATTTATGTTATTAAAGAAAAAAAATTTTCTCATAATCTCGGTAACTAAATTGTGCACTACGCGAAGAATCATCCATCCATATAGCAGTTAAAAGAAGGAATAAAAACGAAAAACTAAAATTTGAGAAACACGAATTTACACTTTTAAAAAAAGTCATATAACAGGGTATGCTTTTAGAGAACAGCTTTTTTATCTTCAAGAAGAATCATCATCTGTTGTGTTAAAAATTGAAGCAGTGAAAAATTTGATTCATCAAGTTGGTAGACAGTGGTTGGGAGGTGTGATCAATACCCAAAACTGGACAGATACTTGGCTTCTAGAAGGGTCTCTCATCTATTTTAGTCACGCATTTCTTAAAGAAGCAAGTGATCATTCAATTCTTAATACTTTTATTTGTTAATTATTAAACAGTTTTTTTTTTAAAATTGTTGCTGTTTGTTTTAATTGTTTTTAAAATTATACATATATATCTTATATCAAATTATATAATTTGATATAATTATATCTTATATCCTTTGAACATGATTTGGAAACTTAAATAAATATTAATAAATTAATATAAAAATAATTTAATATATTGAAAAAAAAATAAAAAAATATATTAAATAAAAAAAATTTGTATTTAATAAATTAAGCTGATATTTTGTGAGGAAGTCTAAAATATAATCAGGAAGGGTTGTAATGGGTAAAAGTTTTAACACTTTTAAAATTTATTTTTATGAAACATTTTAAAATATCACTTTTTTAAAACAATTTTAATGTGTTATATAATAATTAATATTAAAAATATTATAAATTTTGCAGCTCACTGTCCTTTCTTATTATATTTTAGTTATTCACATAGAATTAGTTTAATTTATTTTATATTTTATTTAAATCTAACAGTCACATGCTGTTAATGATAAATATTAGATATTTGAAAATTATAATATTGCAATCAATATTAATTATTAACCATGGACAATACAACATAAATGGCTCATATGTGGAAGTACAAGTAAAATTACGAATCCGATGGCAGTTTTTTAAAATTAAAAATGGCGGATCCAATATGGCGGACTAGATTTTTAAATTTAATGAAATTTGCTTGAAAATTGTTAGTCGGGGGGTTTTTAAGGTCGCTGATTACGAATCCGATGTTAGTTTTTCAAAATTAAATATGGCGGATCCAATATGATGAACTAAATTTTGAAATTCAATCAATCAATTTTCAAACAAATTTGATTAAATTCTTATTTTCTTTAATTTTACCGTCATATTATGTCCGCCATTTCGTTTCCTGTGAATTATGGCAACAAATTTATATTTTTGTTTTAAACAATCGTAACTTATTTTGAAAGATAAATTGGTCATAAAGACTAAATGGATTTATAATTGTAAATATAATTGTAATATAAATGATAACAAATTATATAACACCTAATATGATAACTAAAGTTAGGAAGTAAAAATGTTTTCAAAAGTGCTGATTAAAAAAATTACATTATATGTTAATATTAAATAACATTAAGAAAAATCTGTTAATTCCATAAAGTAATTTTTGTGTTGCATAATCATGTACGTAAATTTTTATATAAAATTTTTAACTTGATTGAATGTAGAACATGAAATTTTAGTATAACATAAAAAATTCTGTTCTTATACAGGTACATAAATACATTTATATATTTACGAGCTTCCTCTTTCAGATAGATCCGTCATTCGAAACATCCGGTTCATTTGAATCAGATGTTCAATGGAAAATGATGGATCGTGATGCTTATAGTGTTTCAAGGTCTCTTCAGCACAAGATACATGCTACACATTTGGATGATTTTGGCGTTGACCAACATTACAAAAAGGGTAATATACTTTCTTAATTGTATTACACTTTCAGTAAGAAATAAATAATTTATATAAATTTTTAAACCGTCGCTTATAATAATTTCTTCTATATTTGACAATTTCTACACAATAGTTAATGTTGAAAGATAATTTTTAAAAATTTTTTTCAGTGAACATTTATAATTTGTACCATTTTAGAAAATAGTTTCAATATCGTTTATTGGGGCAGAAATGGTTTTTATGATTTTTGTTTTTTTTATATTTTTGTCAACCTAAAATAAACAGAAAAGTTAGCAATAATTGCCAATCATATTGATATACAGTACCGTCCGCAATTGTCAGTCCACCCATTTTTAAAGCAATGACAAAAATTTTTTAACACAAAATTTATGAAAACTAAAATTTTTTTTGGTTTATATTTTGAAAGACGATAAAATTTTGAAAAGAATAAGACCTTACAGAAGTCATTTGGCCAAAATTTGTAGAAGATATTCCTAAAAATCGTCATTTTCAATGTTTTACAAAAATTTAAATAACTTCTAAAATAATGAACGCTTTTTAATAATCTTAGGCTTATTTTAAAGGTCTTTTTCTACGGAATAAGAATTACTTATATGCATTAACCTGTCATTTTTAACTTGGAATAAGCATGACGTCAAAATTAGACAAAAAAATTGTAGAAATTTGAAATCAATTTTTTGTACTAAAAACTATTCTAGAACATATATGTAAAACATGATATGGTGTAGATTTTTCTAGAAAATTTAAAAAAATATATGTTTGAATTTCAAAAATTATTTTTCTTTTAATAATATTATTTCAAATTTTATGAATTTTTTTGTCCAACTTTGACGTCATGCTTATTCCAAGTTAAAAATTACAGGTTAATGCCTATAAGTAATTCATATTCTGTAGAAAATGGTCTTTAAAATAAGCCTAAGATTATTAAAAAGCGTTCATTATTTTAGAAGTTATTCAAATTTTTGTAAAACATTGAAAATGACGATTTTTAAGAATATCTTCTACAAATTTTGGCCAAATGACTTCTGTAAGGTCTTATTCTTTTCAAAATTTTATCGTCTTTCAAAATATAAACCAAAAAAAATTTTACTTTTCATGAATTTTATGTTAAAAAATTTTTGTCATTCCTTTGAAAATGGGTGGACTGACAATTTCGGACGGTACTGTATGTTCTGCAATTTTTTATTTAAATGTCATCTTTGTGCCCCTAATCGAAGATATCAAAATCTACCTATATATATCATATACTTGAATATTTATTACAAATATATTTATACAACAATTTAACATTTATTATAAATTGATTGTTACATAATTTGCTTATTTTATGTTTTATTGAGATATGTTTATTTTTTACTTTAATAAAATTTCTATACCGAACTAAAATTTAGTGAATTGAGAAAAACATAATTGTGGAAAATTATCGCAGGTGCATGTCTTATTCGCATGTTGCATGGATTATTAAATGATACCGCCTTTAGGAGCGGATACGAGAACTTTGCTAGAAGGTGGTGGGTATTTAGAAACATTTATTTCCTTATTATTAATGCTTTTAATAATTAAATTTTATGATTATCACTAGTTGAAAATAGCAGAATTTTCTTTGCAAATATAATTATGGTTCCTAAAAGGAAAACATTATGTAAAAAATATTTTTTGCTAATGATATTTATAATTAAATGAGTAATTTGTTGCTTGTTATAGGGCCTATGGAAATGGAAATTTGAATTCATTTTGGGAAGCCATGTCTGAAAACATAGAAAATCAAACGGAAAATTTGAAACTGATTGATATTATGAATACATGGATCTATCAAAGTGGATATCCTGTGGTTTCTGTCAGAAGGAATAAGACTGGATCGATAAATATTAATCAAGTTAGTATTTTTTATTTTTTAATATTAATAAACACATATTAAATATAGAAGTATAATTGATTTGAAATTCTATTAAAATATAAGTTTTATGAAAAATTCATCTAAAGCATTTATTTTTAAATATAACAATTTTTTTGTACACTAAAGAAATAATATCAGTAATTTTATAAACTCGTTTACGAAGTATAACTTCAAAATATACAACAATTTTTTACGATCAATCTATTATCCACTTATTGCAATTATAAAATTCAATGTAGAGATAAAAAAAAGGCTCTTTATACATATTTTCTAATAAAACGGCATTCAGATTTGCATAAATCTTGTTTAATTATTTTTTTAAAACATTTGTAATGTGTACTTTATTAAATAAGTGCAATAAAAATATATTTTTAACCTTTTTTAAAATACTGTGGTATGTGGACATATTTCTAGAATTTTTAAACAATATGTAATCGCTCATTATGATATATTAAAAATTGTAAATATAAATTTGGAGCACCATAATTTGATTAATTATGGTGCTTTTTAAAAACCAGTTTCACCAACTCCGATTAAAAGTTAATCAATGATTAATGTAAGTTTAACCGCTCATGATTGGTCGGTTAAGGATTTAATCATCGATTAACATTTAATCGGTGTTAGTGAAAGTGTGCCTAATTATGTCATGGGTTTTATATTTTTTTTAATTACGTACGAAACGACGAGTGTTGAAATCGATAGTTTCTTGTGTGTGACTTGGACTGTTCTTTGCAGTTTAAGCAGTATAACTTTTTAACGAATCATTGTATACTTTATGGCTTATAACAGATGTAGTTGGGAGTGCGCAAATAACTAAAAAATCCTTGAGATAATGATGTGCCTCAAGTAACATAAAAATTGTGTACCTTCATAGTTGTTAGCTAACTTTTTTCAATTTTGACAACTTTGCAATTAAATTGGTGTAACATTTTTAACAAAAAATTTTAAATAAACATATAACAAGGTCACATTATCTATACATAATAAAAAGTCATTTTTACCATAACAGAAATATGTGCTACATATACATATTAAAAAAAAATTAATTTTTTAAAGATTTAAACACTGTTACTAAAAAAGTATTTTTTGTATGTTATACTATAGGCATGGTTTGCGTTTGACAATATGTCATCACAGAAAGAAAAATTATGGTATATTCCTCTAACTTTTACTAATTCAAGTGATAACTGGAATTCACCTACACATATGTTGATGACAAAAAAAGAAATTTTAATCGAAAATTTAGCAGTTGATAATTGGATTGTATTTAACATTAATGGAGAAGGTAATTAGTAATAATAAAACACACGAGTTTTTAGTATCAACCTTAAAAAATTGTTTAAAAATTTTATTCAATGTAAAATACTGGTTATTTTAAATTCATAAGAATAATTTTTTTGTAAGGATATTATCGAGTGAATTATGACATTAATAATTGGATGTATCTTGCTGAGGCTCTTAAGGAAAATCCCGACCAATTTCCTCCAGCGACTAGAGCGTCTCTTATCGATGACGTGCTCAGTCTCGCTCAAGGTGGTCTTACATCTTATAAAATAGCATTTAAACTTATTAATTATATGAGGACAAAAGAAAAACATTACGCTCCATGGGCAGCACTTTCAACTCACTTATTGAAATTAAAATTTTCTCTCTATAACACTGACATCTATTCAGATTTTCAGGTAAAACAGATAAAATATGTTACATGAAATAATGAATGTCTGTATTTAAATTATATAATTTTCATATTTTACTTTTATACTTTACATATTCTATTGTTTATTTAATGTTTTTCAGATCTTTACGCGTCAATTTTTATCTGTGATTTACAATGAAACAGAGTCGACAAATGATGATGGTTCTCAATTGTCAGTAGTTATTAAAAAACTTGCCTGTAATTTCGAGCATCCACATTGTATAGATTGGGCTAGAAAATTATTTGCGATAATAAAAAATTCGAATGGCATAAGGTAATTTAAAAAGGTCTATGGTTTATGTATACTTTTGTTTATGAATATGTTAATTTTAAATGTCTATGTAATCTCTTCAAGGTGAAAGGAACATTAAACCCCAAAAACTTTTAAAGTATTAAAAGATGAGAGGGCTGTTTGATTATCCCTTATAATTATTTTTTTTAATTTAAAGATTTTGCAATATTAAATATTTTAAAAATTGTGACACATTTATTTTCTTGCCATGCTAAGATAAGTGTTTTTGATCAACAATGTGTGAAATATATTTTAAAATATCAGGATGTTTTATTGAATTTTTAGTCTTCCGTTGCACACTCGAGAAATATTTTACTGTGCCGTTGCGAGAGTTGGCGGAGAGGATGAGTGGCAATACTTCTTGCAAAAAGCAATAAATGCGACAGACAAAGAGGAAAAGAATCGAATCCTGTCTTCACTAGCGTGCTTTCAAGTGCCCTGGATTTTACAAAAGTGAGTATTGAAATTAAATATTGAAGTTGAGTCACTGCTCAGAATGAGTTATTTACACCGAAAAAAAATATTCTTGTTTTAAGCGGATTCCTCTTATTTCAATGCATATTTTCCTCTAGAATATGTCTCAAAAAACTGTCCTCTTAATTTAAGAGGAATGTCCTCTACTTCAGAGTATTCCTCTTAAAATAAGAGGATATTCTTAAATCAAAAGGAAATCCTATTAAAAAAAGTCTAATATATTGTAAAGAAGCATAACCTCAAAATGATATAAATTTTCTGAAAAGAAACATTACAAAAACATTTATATGATATAATAAAACAATATGCATAACCTCAAAATTATTCAAATCACTGTTTTTCATTTGTTTTAAACTCAGGAGACTTTAACGAAACTATAAAACATTTACGAGACACTTCGCCATTATAATTATGTTTATATGATGAAATCAATAGTTGCGCATGTGTGAATTTCTAGAGGAAATCCTCTTAAAGTTAGAGGATTATTATTAAAACAAAAAGATTATTCTACATTATAAGAATAGTATACTCATATTGAAAAGATTAATTTCAATGTAAGAATAATATGCTAAACACACTGTGCCTGAACCAAAAAAAAGTTTGACAAAAATGGATCCACAATCTGGTTGTCGGGAATGTTTCTGCATCATACCAAATGTAAAAATCCGTTGAGATCAAAATCCTAGCTGATCCTTTTTTCGAGTTATCAATATATTTACATGCAAATTTTTGCAAAACGTTCAAATTAAAACTTTGTAACTTCATGTAGGCAATTCAATCACGCAAAAGGTATCTTAAATATTTTTATATCTAAATATATATAATTGCATTTAAAATAAGACCTAAATAAAGAAAATTGATTAATATTTATCAATAAAGTTCAAAACCAACTTTTAACTAAACTTTATGTTGAAAAACCCCGAAATTTTGATAAATATTAATCAATTTTCTTTATTTAGGTCTTATTTTAAATGTAATGATATATATTTACATATAAAAAATATTTAAGATACCTTTTGCGTGATTGAATTGCCTACATGAAGTTACAAAGTTTTAATTTGAACGTTTTGCAAAAATTTGCATGTAAATATATTGATAACTCGAAAAAAGGATCAGCTAGGATTTTGATCTCAACGGATTTTTACATTTGGTATGATGCAGAAACATTCCCGACAACCAGATTGTGGATCCATTTTTGTCAAACTTTTTTTTGGTTCAGGCACAGTGCGTAAAGTAGTCCTCTAATATCAAACCTCTTGAAAAGGAAGGAAAATACTATCCAATTAAGAGTAATATTCTTGATTTAAGAGGATTTTTGAAGAGGAATTTTCCTCTCAATTTAAGAATATTCTTTTTTCAGTGTATCTTTTATAAATTCAAACTTCCAGAAAAATAATAAAATATTAGACTTAATAATTATATAAAAAATATTATATTTACATTCGTTTTTTTTTGCTATTTAATCATTCCTTATCAAAATTTTTTTAAGTTTTAATTTTTTTCAATATTAAAATTTCTTCTCTTTTTTTCATTTTCTTTAATGTTTAAAAAATATTAATTGCTGATAATTTACATTTTTTCTACTAAATTAGTTTTTATAAGCTCATTTATATTTGAAGAATATTGTTCTATCTGAATAATTATTGCAGAATTTTAAAGATGACACTAGATGAAAATTTGTTCAGTGAGGAGGAAAGTCGGCTTATTCTGCACTCTTTCTCTCGAAATCCAGAAGCTGCTTTCGCTGTTCAGAGATTTATTGAAAGAAGTTGGCCGGATATAACAAAAAGGTTTAAAAAGTTTATAATAAATTGAGACAGAATTTCAATTTCAATAAAACGATTTGTCTGGTGTTAAAAATATTGACTTACACTAATTTTTTTTTATTGTTGCTTTCTATATATATATGAATGAATGGTTGATTTATTTATGATTTACTAGATACCAAAAGTCCTATTTTATGATGAAGGAATTTATTCTTGCAATGACGAAATCCTTAATGACAAAGCAAGATTTAGTTATGGTAAATATACAAAATATTGATGAAATATAACATTACTTATTGTAAACACAATAATATTAAAAAAAATTTTCAGTTCCAGGAATTTAGAGATAATAATATAAAAACTTTAAAAGCTGTTGGTTACGATGTAGTTTTGGCTGAAGTGGAATCAAGTTCTTGGGAACAATGGCGAAATGTTTCGTTGCCAGTGATAGAGATGATAATTAAATTTTTTGTCTTTTAGCCATAAATAGTTTATAAGCTCTTACATGTAAATATTTGCAATTTTTAAAAAGTAGATTCCGCAAATGTGGTAATTTATTTTAAAACCAAATTTAAAACTTTAAGATATTTACAGAGTGATTTATTTGTTAGATGATTAAAGGCATTTACTATGAAGACAAAATGGGTTAAAAGTTTGTACCAGAAACGTCTTTGTTTCATCAATATTTGTATAAAGATTTTAGAATACTTTCATATTCTCCAAATAATTTATTCAGAACGTCTGATGTTTTAAATCGGTGTAATAAAATTACATGTACATTTTGGGCCGCGCGGCCGGTTCCACAACTGTATTAACAAGAGTTTAAGTTAGTGTACTCGGTATTGAAATTAAGACATTTATCCTAATGGTTATAAGGTTTTTTTATAAGCAGTTTTAACAAATAATTGTTTATTTAAATACGTAAATACTCTTAATTAGTATAATCTCTTTGACATTGTATCTTTTAACTCATTTTGTTGATACAACAAATACCTTCAAAGTAGTAGTGGGTCAGTCCAGGAAGCATGCCTTAACAAAGTAAATGTTTACCAACTGTATGTTGTATGTAATATTAATCGATTGTTAAAATGTAATAGTTAGTAAAAGTTTATCTTAAATATTTTTTAATATATAGATATTTCATTTGTAACATAATATTTACGAAACTTCGCATATTAACAAACTGTAAAATAGTTTCTTAACTAAGATATTATGTTGTGTTTCATCCATAGAATATATATGAAAAGTTTTATTTCATTTGTTGGAAAAATTTTAATGATTATTATTGTTAAGATGCCAAAGAAGGCTGATTAAAATATGTTAATTAAAAAGATACAGAAAACTCTAAGACTTAAATTTGTCATTCCTTTAAATTAATTTATAAAAGCGTCTTAATTTTAAAAACTTTACATATCTTTTACACCAGATAACTATAAAGTAGTAAAAGAAAATAAATCTCCTATATTTCATTTGACATCCCTTCAAATCCCTGCTATAGTCAAACTCTTTCCACTATTTGATGGGACATCGACATCGAAAACATCGAAACATCGATGTTTTTCCTTCGAGGTCGATGTTTAAAACCTCGATGTTTTGATTTCGATGTTTTCGATGTATCGAGGTTTTTTTCGATGTTTGAAATCGATGTAAATTAAGTGGGGAAAAGAGGTTTTTTAAAAATATTTTCTTTATTTTTTGCCTCTAACAATTTGTGTTTTTTTATCTTTTAAACAATTGCTCTTATCGATTTGTAAATCTTTAAATTTTGTTTTTGCAGTTGGTTAAATTTACCCCTTTTTAGCACTTTTGCCTCATTTTTCCCTAAATTTTTATTAAAACCAGTCAATATCATAGGTTTTAACTTGCCTAAAATGTTAATTAATAGTTATATCCTAAAGTGCTAAACAACTATAAAATGCTATATCTGTCTTAATATATTAATCAATATTATTTATCTGACAGAATTTAATTTTCAGTTATTTCTATATTTCATAATTAGTTTTCTATTGAAAGCTGTAAATTGTGCTTTTAAAAACTACCATTTTATCTTAAATCTTTTTAAAATCTACTTCAAATGTTATTATTATAATTTTATTTATATATTTTTTGATGAATTAAAGGGAAGTGTGAAAAAAACATCGGAACATCGAAACATCGATGTTTTCTTTTCGATACATCGATGACATCGATTTATGAATTTTCAATGTCGATGTTTCACAACATCGATGTTTTTCTTTCGATGTCCCATCACTACTTTCCACATGAATATTATAAAATGAGAAATGAGAAAAGATTGGAAAGTAAAATACCAAAACTGTAGTTAAACTGCATTTATTAAAACACAAACTATCCTTTCTCTTCTTTAAAAATGTATCATTATTTAAATATTTAACATTTTCAAATTTATTGCAACCTTTTTATTACAATTATTATAAAAAAATATTAAATCTCAATTAAAATTTATTTCAAACATTAATTTTCTTATCTCCTAGAATAAAAATCGCTGGACGATAACATGTCTTCTAAAGATAAATACCTAGGCCACTCGCAAATTCTTCTACATCTTCATCGACTTTGGAAAAATCTAAAAATGAGAATAAATCCACTTATATACTCTCTTTACAAAATATTATGCAGAATGTAAAGTTTTATTTCAATTCTAACCTTTAGGTACCTTTTATTCTTCACTTATCGAGTTGAAACCTTTTATGTTAACTTTAATTTTTCCTCTTTCATGTACTGTAAATATATTTATAAAATTTAAAAATATTAATTATTAATTATTAATATTCTGTGTAAGATATTTTTAAAAAATCATTATTTTTAATGTTTTACTAAAATTTAAATAACTTCTAAAAACATGAACACTTTTTAATTTTTTTGTACAAAAAACTATCTTACAAAAAATATAAAACATGATATGTAGATTTTTCAAGAAAATTTAGTAAAACAATATGTTTGAATTTTAAAAATTATTTTTCTGTTAACCCGTTGCCTGTTAACGACCGTTGGGTAGTAAACTTCTTAGCGCAAAATAAATGCAATTTCTTAAGTAAATTATAAAATAAATTCTTTTATATCATTATTAACACACTATTGATTGTAATGATCCTAAATTAAGTAATAAATAAATGATTATTTATTATTTTTAAATAATATAACATTTAAAAAACAAGTAAAATTTATGAAAATTTATTTTTAATCTAAGTCACATTTAGTGTATATTATAAGGGTTTTTGTCGGTGAATTCGAATTTAACCTTAATTTTAAAAAATTCAAAATGGCGGACATCAATTTTGAAATTCATTTGGATTTTTATCAATTTCAGTATCTAGGGGTTTTTTGGGTCGCTAAATTCAAATTTGACCTTCATTTTTAAAAATTCAAAATAGTGGACATAATTTTTAAAATTCATTTGGATTTTTATCAATTTCAGTATCTCAAATTTTAGTATTTTGGGTCGCTGAATTTAAATTTGTCTTTCAGAATAAAAAATAATGAATTCAAAATGGGGGACGTAATTTTTCGAAATTATCCCGATTTTTATCAAATTTTGTTCTCTATTCTATATCCTCTGCATTAGCTGATAAAACAAACCATGACCCCAGAATGTGCCGCGTGGAGGCTGCAAAGGTTTTACATTACACTTTCTGTTCTTTGTTTTTTTTGTTTATAATATCTGTTTAAAATTTAAAAATTTTGTCCGACATATTGGATCCACGATTTTTAATTTTTTTGACGTCATATTTAAATTCAGCGACCCCAAAAACCCTTGTACACTAAGTTTCATAAAAATTCATCTTCCAGATTTTGCTGAACATTTTGGGCCAATCATATGATTATTTTTCCAAACAGCAAAGGGGTTTATAACCCAGATAACAAAATGCGTGCAGTAGGTAAACATAAGGCAGACATTCGTGCGTCATATCTGCGCTCATATGACGACACAGATGTGTCCTCCATGGAGGTACGCCTGGCGCGCATTTTGTGATGCGCTTGAATGTGCGTACCAATGGAAAGCACTAAATGCTTGATCAAAGCAGCTTTTATTTCATTTAAATAAATAAATAAAAGTTAAATTTTAATTAATCTTTTTATTATAAAATAAAATTGTAATTCTTACAATATATTATACTAGTATTATATTTCAATAACAAGTTTAGAGTTGTGCGTACAAATAAAAAACTGATACATTATTACTTTATCACAGTCCTCGTTGTTATAATAAATTATTGACTAGTCAATGATTTTTACGCGCAGAAGAACAATATATATTTATAAACATTCTATATTTTCATATATAGTGAGCTAGTTTCATGAAATTTGACTTTTATCACAAAGCAATTAGCGCAACTTATTAACAAAAAACTTACTTATAATTAACAAAAAACTGATACATTATTACTTTATCACAGTCCTCGTTGTTATAATAAATTATTGACTAGTCAATGATTTTTACGCGTAGAAGAACAATATATATTTATAAACATTCTATATTTTCATATATAGTAAGCTAGTTTCATGAAATTTGACTTTTATCACAAAGCAATTAGCGCAACTTATTAACAAACTTGGGTAACAATTATATTAAGTATTATTTAAAGGAAAACATCATTTATGCCCATATTTTTAAAACTATTACGATAAATTAAGCATAAGTTATCACAACAATCACATTTTAGAATCGTGAATTCAGTCTCAATTGAAATTTTATGCACATCTTGCACGAAATTTTCCGTAACGATAATAATTATAAAATATACGTAATTTATAATAATATAAATATATAATATATAATATATAATAATATATTAATAATATATAATATATATATATATATATATATATATATATATATATATATATATATATATATATATATATATATATATATAATAATAAATATACGTAATTTGTTTTTAATATTTTGAGTTTAAAGAATAAAATAAATGTTTTTAAGAACAAATAAGTAACAAGGAATATATAAAAAAATTGATATGAATTTAGTCAACTTTCGTTTTAAAATCAGTCACTCCATCTCATCATCCGCCATGCCATCTTCCTGATCACTCTCATTTTCGCTAGTCTCAAGATTATGAGATTCAAGTTCTCTAATTCGTTCCTCTAACTGTTCGTAACTGGCCCTGTCAGCAACAAACTGATTCTTGTCTTTAGTAGCGTTACGATATCTCTGTTTTGATATTCTCATTACTTCACGCATCTCAGTTTTGTATTCTGCGACGTTGGAAGGTCCTTTAAAAAAAGGACATTTCTTAGCTGAAGCTAAAACAAATAATTAAACATAATTAAACAAACATTAATTTAAGAAATAATTTCAACATTTTTAAAACAACCTTACAAAATAAAACGTTGGAAATCTTCGTATCACCAAATTTTTGCATTCCTTTTTCTCCGTTCCAAGTATATTCGCATAACAAATGATCGGTCATCAGTTGCTTCATGGACGTACTTAAAAATTCTCGCAATTTTGTTCCGCCTAGAGTCAGGAGATGATGATACTGAAACATGATGAGTCGTTACATTCGTTTAAAAAGCTTTTTATTTTTAAAAAATGTTGATATGGAGAAGGCAAATATATTGCTATTAATATTCAATTATTATCTAAAATTTCAACTGAAACTCATCTTTAAATCAATTTTTATTAGAAAATTCTACTTGAATTCAATTATTTAAATACAAAAATAAATAATTTTTATTGAATAATAATAATTGAATGTTTCTTAAAATTCAATTCTTATAAAGAATTTTATCAACAAATTATTGAATTCTTTTGAAGAATTTTAATAAAGTTTTTAAGAATAATTCCATTTTTCGAGAAATTTGATAAAAATTGTATTAGAAATAATTGAAATTTTGCGATGAGTTTTACTATATATATATGAAAATTATTGAATTCCTAAAAAGAATTTTATTATTTTTGAAAATAATTGAATTTCCGCAATAATTCGTAATTTCTACAAAATTAAATTTTCTTTAGTGTTTTTAACTAAAATTTTTCTATAAATCCATTATTTTTAATAATTTTTTAAAAAGTTCTTTGAGAATTTTTAAATTCATTTGTTTACAATTCAATTTTACCAAATTTCAATTATTCGGTAATTGTTTAATTAAATGTATGTTAGAAAATAAAAATATCAAAAAATAATTTCAAGTAAAATGGAAAAAAACTTTTTTAAAAAAAATTCTTCTATAAAATTGTTAGTTAAAAGTATGAAAAATTAACATTTTTAAAGATTTTAATATGAAACCTTTTCAAAATTCAATTATTTCTAAATTTTCACGCTATAATGCTTTTAATATTCAATTATAATCTAAAATTTCAACTGAAATACATTTTTAAATCAATTTTTATTAGAAAATTCTACTAGAACTCAATTATTTAAATAAAAAAAGTAATTTATTGAACAATTATTTTCTCATAAAGAATTTTATCAACAAATTTTTAAGTAATTGAATTTTTCGACGAATTTTAATAAAAGTTTTAAAAATTGTTGTATTAAAAGTAATTGAAATTGAATTCCTAAAAAGAATTTTATTTTCTAAAATAATTGAATTATTTAGAAGAAATTGATAAAAAAATGAGTAAATAATTGAATTCCTGGGAAATTTTTATTATTTTATGAGAGTAATTATGTCCTTTTTGAGAAGATATAATTATAAGTAATAAACAATAAATACCAAGCTTTCGCGTATTTTCTCGCTTTCTTCGGAGTCGTTCTCAAGTTGCGTAAACTCAGCCACTGTTTTTAAAGGAAAACCTTTTAAGTTATCGTACAATGTCTTCTTGCCATTTATTTCACTTCTTTTCATCTCATCAAGTTTCTCGATTATTATTGTACTTGCTGAAATAATTTCCTCATTTTGTTTTTTTATAATCCTAAAACAATGAAATATGAAAAAATTAATATTAATTTTTTTGTGACTGAAGGTTTTATCAAAAAGAAATTTTTTTTCAATTAAACTTACTTTAAATCGTTCGCTATTTCGACCAAGTCGATTATTGGATAAGACTCATCAACATTTCCTTTTGGAGCATTTATGAATGTCCCTTCAACGTGATCGAGTGCCTCTTGAAGAATCGGGCTAGAAAAAATTAACAATATTATTATAAAATTAAATAAGACGTAAAAACATTGAAGATTTATAGGTTTTTCAAAGTGAAAAAACTTAACTTATGTGCTGAAATAATTTTACAATACGAAAATTTTTTTTTAAAAAAATTTTTTTTAAGAAAAAGGAATGATATGATAAAGAAATGTATACTAAAATTTATTATTAAAAGATAAATTGGGCCTAAATTTTTTTAAATTTATTTTTGCAATTAGGAGCAAATATCAATTATTATTATTATGGATTTTATATTACATTAGAACTTTCACAAATACCTGTTATATTTTAAAATGAACTTACATCGTGATTTCAGGGAGTTTTCTTGAAATAGTCTCCTTTTGAGTGTTTAGCTTTTGTAAATTGCTTGTTCCATCTACGACAGTTGGTGCACTATCTACTTCAAGTTCAGCGCGTTGAATAACTTTAGAAGAAGAATAACTCTTATCTTGAGCATTTGTACTAAATTTTTTGTCAATTTGATTATTTCGGGTTTCCTTTTTCTTAGCATCTTTATTTGATAGTGCAGTTGTTGAGTCAAACAGTTTGTCCTGAGAAGTATGACTAGAACACTGAGCAGCATATTTCGTTGACATTAACGTTTTTAATTTTTCTATTTCGGCGTTGACGGTTACATTATTTTTAGATCTTTTTATTTTTGGTGCTTCTTCTTCAGATGTCAATAAATTACCTGGAGTAGAGATTGGTCTTCCACTTTTGGACTTTCTTTCCTGTCGTTTAGCGATAGATCCTTCATTGCCTTTTTTTAATAAGTAAGCCATAATTCTGTAATGAAGCCACATTTATGTTTACCATCCATTATAAATATAAAAAAAATTTTATAGTATAATTAAAATTGAATATTTTTAATTTAAAGAATGTATATCTCGTTTAAAAGCATTGCTATTCATTACAAAGGTTATTTTTGTAATATCGACAATCTTTATTATATTTAGAATATATCATATTTATTTTTATAAAAACTATACGTATCGAAAATTTTGAACACAAAATTGTATGTAATTTTGTATGATTATTTCGATTTTAGAATTGAAACATTGGGTACAACGATGATGTATAATAAAAAACGACGAACGGAGATATTTCGACTCAAGTTTACAAATATATAAACTGCGATGAATTTGAATCTTGACTTCTTTCTGAATTTAAATATACTTAGTCAATATTTTTGCAACAAAATCACATGGCAACTAGAGGAAATTGTTATCATTTTCACATGATAATATCAAAACTTTTGTTATCCGCCCAGTCCTCTTGTTGTACACAATACTTCAATTATCTCTTCTTTTTTTAGTTATTAGGTAGAACGAGTGGAGAAAGAAAAGTAACGCAAATCCATGTGTCAGGAACAACCATTTCCTCCTGTCTATCTACATCACTCCATTCAGGTATTCTATAGCACTTAGTCTTAATTTCATTTAAGCTTATAGTTGCAATCGTGTTTGATAGGTTAGAACAGCAATATACACCTGCCGATTCGGATGTTATCCCAACATTATAAATTGAAGTCACTGTTCGAAAAATCTTCATAATAAAAAACATGTCTCCCTCAATTTTTACAATGTTAACAATGAGACCTACTCTTCCATCTTTAATAACGCAACAACTGTCACGTAAAGTTGTTGCAAAGGTAAATTTTCCAATTTCCAATTTATGATACTGAAGGCATCTGTTGATGGCCGTATTTGGTGGTAAAGGTCCGTCAACATGGTTTTGAGAGGTTTGAAGGCGATTGCTGGTTTCGAGCGGTTTTAAGTTAATACCATTTATCTCACAAATTCTTTTGTATATTTGTTGGAGAGTAAGATGCGGTTTTCTAACCAATTTTCGAATCTCCGGCATGTTATTTTCAAAGTCGAAAGCACTGAACGTTTCTTGAGGGCCAAGTTCCTCAACATCTTCAACAGTGTGTAACATGCCATGTAAATTATATGACATAAATTGTTCGCCAAATAAAGGTACACACAATGTGACAAAAGTTTTTACGGCCATTTTACAAAAATCTTTTAATTCTGGTAATACGTTTTCCGAACCAAGTAACCGCATTGTACTGTTTAATAACATAAAATGGTCATAAAATTCTTGTAAAAGAACGTTTTTAAATACACCTGGTGCTGTGTAAAGTGCCAGTTGTCGAAACTCGGTAGCCTTGAAGTGCTTGTACAGAGAAATTTCTTTTGGTCGTCTATTAAACTCAGATGGACAATATTCGTCTATCTGAAGCATTCGCGAGTTCATTATTTCTATTTTTCTATAGTTTAAACGTTGAAAACCGAAGTTTCCATCTATTATACTAGATAATATTTTTTTTACACATCCTATCCACACCAGGTGCATCGGATCAAATGGTACTCTAGATACAAGCGGTAAGATTGGAGCTATTGGAGATTCACCCTTCTGATGATCTTCGTCAACTACATTAAAATAGTCTGCATCATTTCTCGAAGCATGTTCAGTACCTAAAAACACCATAACTCTTTCGAAACCCGGTTTACTACAATGACTCCCTTCAACTTTGCACTTAGAACATGGATTCAATGAATTGTGGCCAAAGTGATTTAAAATAAATGCTCGAGCCGGTGCATCTGCAATGAAGCATCTTATTTCCAAAGGCATTTGTTTATCGTTGATGCGTACTCCACCTTCATCTTGAATCTGAACAATTTCTTGAACCACTGGATTGAAAAAGTCAAAAGGATTGGACGGCTTATGCTTTCCTTTATAAATGCCTGCAATAACAACTCTTTTGTCACATATATTATAAATTCTATATTGAATGGGCCAATATTGATCCATCCCTTTATTTATTTTAGCACCATCTGTGCTCAAGTCTACGATGATTCTTTCTGGCAACATGTTCTCTTCAAGGCTGTTTAACTTTTGCATCAAAGTTTTTTTAAACCCAATGTGAAGATATTCTCCACCTGGTACAATTTGTATTTGACTGCTAGCGACGATTGTTGGTGTATTCAGAAGTGTTCGAGAATCTTTAGGTAAGTAGTTTAAATTAAAAGGAAATTCTCGTAAGGTTTTAAGCAATATATTTCCCTGTGTGTGCTTTAAACCAGCTGATAGAAACGCATTTTTTAAAATTCTCTTAGCTATTTCACGTGGATCATTAAATTGTTCAGCCTCAACTTCATGTTCTGAAACATCTGATTCGATTACATTTTCTTCTTCGATGTCAAATTCAAAAATATCATCGAATTCGGTGGAAGCACTTGAATTATCCAAAAGGTTTTGTGACTCGTCTGATTCCAATTCAGATCTAACAGATGAGGGTTGAATCGGCGGATTTTCAAATCTTGCGTTTTCTTCATCATTCGAATCAGAAGTGTTATTTTCTGAAATAGTTCTTTCTCTGTGAATTGATGCTTCTAAGCGCCTTCGTTTTTGCTTAGTGCTAAGGTTAGAGAACTCATTATACTTTCCAGACATTATTTATTTTATATTGATTTCTGTAGAACATAAAACAAATTTCATTAAGGTTAGAAAGTTACCGCCGACAGAAAGAATTTTGCCAGGGTAGTTACAAGTTTCAATTTATTAATTTCCCTAACAATTGACTGACATTAGAATTATTTTCCCTGACAATATTTTTTTACAGGAAAATATGAAAATTAATCAGAAATGAGTAAAATTTATTAAATTTAATAATTTCTAAAAATTACAACTATAACTCTTCTTAAATTCAAATATTTTCTATAATTTTCAACTAAACGTCATCTCTAGATCAATTATTTTAAATAATTTTCCGAAAGTTCTTCGAAAATTAAATTATTTAAATACGAAAATTCAATTTTTTATAACAATTGTAACTGTCCATATTTTTTCTTCAGTTTATTAAGGTATAATATTTTCAAAAAATTTTAGTTATAAATATGACCATGATTTCTCCCAAATTTTAATAAGCCCAAAAAAGTAAGTTTTTATTTGCTTTATTCGAATATAATTAAATCTTAAAAAATTTTAAGAATTAAGTAGTTTTTATAAATATACTAATTCTTAAATTTAAAACGTCTAAAAATATTTATTAAAATTTTGATAATTCAAATATTTCGAAAATTTACAATTAAAATTCTTCAAAACTTATGTATGAAAGAGCAGGACCCGTTTACAATAATTGAAATGAAAATTGATTTTAAAAAATTCTAACGAAATACTTGGAAAAAATAAATTATTTCAAATAAATTTTCCAAATTTTTCGAAAATTTATAGAAAAAAATGATTCAAATATAATTTTTGAAAAATTTGTTTATAGTTAATTTCACACTAAAAATCGAAATAGGTTGCACTTAATACTAAAAATATGATATTTTGTTGCAAGACTTGGAAAAAAAGTCGAAAAAGTCGCAATTTTGAAAAATAAGTCGAAAAAAATCTCAATTTTCTAAATTTACCTGACAAAAAAATTTTTTCCTGACTTTACTGACAAAACATTGCTCTGAATTTGCAGTTTTTGCATAAAAAATTTGTTTTGTCTAAATCGTTGATCATAAAAATTGTAAATTTCATTGAAGTAGTATTTATTTAAATTATATGAAATTTGATAGGTCAGAAAACTGTGTCTATCAATTTTCCTGACATTTGAAATGATTTTCTCTGACAGAACTTTTTTTTATAGGAAGTAATGAAAAATTAAAGAGTGAATAAAAGTTTCCAAAAATGTATATAAAGGAAATGTATAAGAAATAGAAGAGAATATGGTTGATAATATTAAAAGTCCGTTCTATACTTTTGCCATAAAAAACATCTGACAAGCAACCGGAACAAAATTCAGTCCATTGTCATAATTTTGAACTTTAAAACAAAAAGACAAATTACATTTTTTGACTGTTTTTCAGCACCTTATTGTCATAATCCTGGCAAAAACCAAAAGGGATACACACACAAACAGATATTATAAATACATATTTTTGAAATATAAATTTTATGATTCGCAGTGATATGTTTTAGCATATTATTATTATATTTTAGTGTTAGAAAATGTAAAATAAATTGATTTTAATTTAAACAGTGGGTAAACTAACCTATAATTATATTGTGAGTTATTGATATGCACATATGTCAAAGTTAATTTTAAAACTGTTTGGAAATGATTTAAAGGGGCAATTAGAAATTCTATAATGAATCATTTAAATAATCTATAAAATGTAAATAAAAAGATACTAAAATAATACTGTTCCTAATCCTGAAAATGTATTAATTTACTCTAGTATTTTTTGTTAAAGATTGAGGTTATGAACATGTATACAAACAATACTTCTTCTCTTCTTGTTATGGTTTAAATGGCCTCTTGTGGATTACACAGATTGCCAGTACTAATATACAAACAATATAAATTATTTTTACTTACCGAAATAAAAAAATTAAAAGTTTTCTTTTCTCCACAAATGAAATAAACTGTCAACTGACATAAACTGACCACAAACTGACGCTTACAATTTGCAAATGTATATTGCCAAAATGGGTTTTACCACGCGCACGCGCGATGATTATGAAACAGTCATCCAATCAGATCGCTTTACACGATGAATCCATTTTAACTAGCGCCAAGTTTAAAAGAGATAGAATGTCATCATTCATTGTTTCACGCTGATACAGTTTTGAATGTTTACTAATAATAATTCTTCTATAATAGCATTTGAAATAATATTGATATGTATTCTAAAAATGAAACTAATGTTGAATAATTATTAGATTTCAAGCATTTATCTTAGTAATTAAAAAATAAAGCGAATAGTAGTCTCTAAATCTGAATTAGTAGAAACCCAGGAAACACAACTTATTTCTTATGTAATATGTAGACAAAGTTTATTTTTAAAAGTCAACGTTAATAAATGGGATTTATTTCATGTCTCCTATATATCGAATAAAAAATTTATATTATATATAAATTGAATGTATAAAATATATATCAATCAAATAGAATAATTTAAAATATAAATATAGTTATTAATTATAAATATTTAAACAAAAAGTATTGAACATTATACAAGATTTAAATTTTTTTAATTGAAAATATATTATTTTCACATATTTTTTTACTATGTGGTTATTCAAAATTTATTATTGTAGTTATTTGTGAATGGTTATTTTTTTATTTAAAAAACTTTTTTAATCGTTATCTTTCAAAAAAAAATTTCTTCTTATGCACAATACTAATAAAATTAGTAAAATTAAAATTATTTTACATAATAATTAAATTAAATTAAATAATTAAAATAATATAACAAAAACTTTTTAATGTACAAAATAGCACACTGGCCATTTTTTTGTCAATATAAAAAATGATTTATGTTAATAGAAGTCTAAAAAATTAAATTAAAAATATAGAATGTGAAAATTGAAACAAGTTTTGTATAAAGTGCCGTTTTTCTGAAGGTTTTGTGTAACTTTGATTTGTAGACTCACAAATACACTTGTGCGTGCAACATGCGTGCACTTAAATTGCCTTCAAAATATGCTGTCAAATAGTAATCATTTTTGCAAGCATTTAGTGCGCGCACCAATAGGTACAAAATATGCGTGCACGCATTGTTATCTGGGTAAGATTGTTTCAAATTTTTTAAATTCTTTTGGTCTAAGTTTGCCAACCTGCATTTTCTAAGAAAAAAATTTCGTATATTCGCATAATTCAAGTTATTTGAATCAAATAAATATTATAGATAAAAAAATTATTTGAATGAAATATTTTTTTTAGTGTGCTAATACTTTTACGTATGCAAAATGGAAGAACATTAATTTATTTATTATAAATTTGGTATTAGGACTACATAAATAATTATTTGACGCAATTAAAGGGATATTGGTCTAAATTAAAATAATTGCATATTTGATATAAATAAGGGGAATTCCACATCAACACAGACAGAGCTCTGAAGAAAAATTGCTTTGATGGATTTAAACGTTCTAGGGCTTAAAAGATTTCTACATTCATGTACTTTAAGATGCCGATGGGCGTTTTTTGCAAATTTTTATTTCCGATGCCAATAGAGCTGTCAAAAGTCAAAAGGTCCAAAAATCTCAAAATACTTTTGTAAATTAAAAGCAAAAAACTGAATAATTATTTTGTAACTTATTCTTTAACAGTTTTTAGAGTCCCCGAATATAAATCTAAAGTTTTTTTAAAATTCAAAATGGCGGATCTATTGTGGCGGACAAAATTCAAATTTGAACAGATTCGATTAAAACTTGTTACTTGGAAGCTTATGGGACCACAGATGACAAATATGAAATCACTTTTTAGAAATAAAAATGGCGGATCCAATATTATGGAAATTTTTTTAAATTTGATCAGATATAATTAAAACGTGTTATTTGGGAGTTCTTAAGGTATCTGATTACGAATCTGAAATCACAATTTAAAAATTGAAAATAGCGGATCCCAAATGACTGAAAAAATGTCCAATTTTGATACATTTCGCTTGAAGTTTGTAATAATAACAAATTTTTTACATTATAGAACAGTATGAAGCTAGAATTTCTTAAAAGTGACTTCAAATTCGTAATCAGATACTCTAAAAACCCCCGAGTAACACTCTACAAAGTAACTTCATATTCATAATCTGCGACCCCAAAAGCCCCCGAATAACACGTTTTAAGGGAATAGGATCAAATTTCAAAATTTTTCCGCCATATTGGATCCGCCATTTTGAATTTTTAAAAAGTGACTTTAGATTCGTAATCAGCGACCCTAAAAACCACCGAGTAACAAGTTTTAATCGAATCTGATAAAATTTGAATTTTGTCCGCCATATTGGATCCGACATTTTAGATTTTTTAAAAAAAACTTTAGATTTATATTCGGGGACCTTAAAAAACTGTTAAAGAATGAGCTACAGAATAATTTACCTCGTTTTTTGCTTTTAATTCATAAAAATATTTTGAGATTTTTGGACGCCCATCGGCATCTTAAAGTACACGGAGAAACTTTTTCTTCTAATATTAAATATATTTGGTTATCTTTATTCTAAAAGTACGTTAGAATGTGAGGATTTTTCGTGCGTTGTGCTAATAATTTCAACATTAATACGAAAATATGATAAGTTCGTTATATATTAAGCAACCTTCGGTGTACAAAAATTACTATTTGCATTAGAAATAGTCTTATTTTTCTTTAGAAAAGAATAAAATGCTAGTTTTTGTTTGTGAAATAATACGGTAATTCTAACCTTTTTTCCACATATAGATAGAATATATAACAGACATTCTAACGTAACATACCAATTTTGGAAGGACTGCGGGCGGACTTAACCGATTTCGCCCGAGCATCACCGAGTCCATCACCTGTCGTCGCGAACTAACCCTAATGTTTTCGAAGTTGAAATTCACACGTGTATGAAAGAAAAAAACCTTTTATTAATAAACGTGAATGTCTCCTCATGCCAAATTAAATTCAAGAACTGTTCCTCAATATAACATAATTTTTTTCACGACTTTTACTTATTTACATAATTTGATTAGTAAGTTATTTTAAAAAATGCTCTCTCTCGAAGGCACATATTTTTCCACTCGTTTAATATATAAGGACGATTCAGCTGTGTACTTCTAACGAATCGTGCGATCTTTCGGTTTCCGTGACCAATCGTCGTGTCTTTACTTGCGTGTGCGTGTGTGCGTTAATAATATAGGTTAGGTTCTTACGTCGTGTTAAATATATTTACCTACAGTTACAGTGACATACACTAATGCCATCTACCATCAGATCCAAGTATCACTATCGTCTCTATGAGTATCTATAGACAATTAATTTGTTGTGTTTCTTTTTAATTCATGGCTTTCCCAACTTTGCAAAAATTATTATTTTCTTTCTAAAACAACATACTAATTTTCGTTAGTTTCCTTATGAAGAACTGTAACATATATACTGAATGAGTGTTTTTGATAGTCTCAATAGCAATTTCTATAACCTATGTCGTTTTTCCCTTGAATCTAACCTAACATACTAAAATGTCTCACCAGTTTTAAGAATTAGTGGTATTAAAAGTTTCTCCGTGTACAGTAGGTTGCAAAAATGCCTTCCTAGTATAAACGTGTCACACTCATATGTTCCCATGGAAACATATGAGTGCGACACGTTAAAACTAAGAAGGCATAATTGAAACCTACTGTACTTGAATGTAAAAATCTTTTAAACCCTAGAACGTTTAAATCTATCAAAGCAATTTTTGTTCATTTGTTCAATTCATTTTACTTAAATAATTCGAATTTGCTACAAATAACTATTTATTTGATACTACAAATTAAAACTTTTATATCAAGTAAATATTTACTTAAATCAAATAAATAAAAACAAATAAGTTGAAATACAACCGAACAAGGGTTTACAGAAAATAATTATTTGAAAATGTTTAATCTTGCCATAAAAAAATTAACATTATTTAAACAATAGAACATTTAGTTATTTTTCTCCCATATAAAAAAACTATTTTTATTTTAAGAAAATCAAAATATTTCACTTGTCTATAAACAAAGGAACTGTATTTTAATACTTTTTTCTGATAAAAAAAATTTTTTCAAATGCGCAACAAAAAACCTTTAAACATTAGAACTAATAAAAATTTAAAAATTTAGGAATTATAAAAATTAAATTAATGTTTATTTTACATTGTAATATTTCCAAACAAAATTTTTGTCTTCAAAAACTTCCATAATAATAATAATAATAATAATAATAATAATAATAATAATTTAATTAATATTATATAAGTATATTATAATAATTATATATATATATATATATATATATAAAATTATATTTTTGAGAGCCCGTTGGTACATAAATAAATAAATTATAGTTATATATCTATAATAATTGAACAATAAAGATGCTATTAAATAAATAATAAAAATTAAATTTTATAATAATAATGTATAATAATAAAAATTTATGTAAGTGGAAATAAATAAGTAAAATGTCTTCCGAGCGAGCGAGGAATATGGCGCTAGTATACATTAATTTAAAATTTAAATACTTACACTAAATATATCAGTACCCAAATTGATGGATGTCTTATTAGTATTTGGAGTAAGTTTGAAAACAACACATTCCCCATTGAAGCAATGCTGAAAAATTGTAAAGTAGAAAATTACAAATACTTCGTAGGTGAAGATTATTAATTTCATGATTTTACAGCTTATAAATAATAACTTATTTTATTTAATTACATCAAAATATTTTTTAGTAAATTTCGCTTAAACATGCAATTTACAATTGAAAAGTTATTAACCCTAATTTAAATTGGGGTTAATTACTTTTTAATTGTAAATGGCATGTTCAAAAAATTTGAACTTTATCCGAAACACTTAACAACAACTTTTTATCAAATTATTATAAATGAGGGGCTGGATGCTATAAGGAGATAAGCTCCATTTCTTTAGCATGATTCGTGTATCCTCTTTTAGAATCCAGCCCCTCAATTCATGGAAGCCATGGGGTGAGAATAATTATAATTTTTTAAAAATTCTCAAAAACATGATTTTAGGAGAAAACAACTTGTTGATAATAGGTAATACCAAAAAAACATTCGAAAGTTAAAGATATATAAAAATTGTATTGTTACTTTATGATTTCCGCAAGGATATCCATCTTCTGCGGTTAAGTTTCGTTCGAATAGACAAATTTTTAAAAACCTTAAAATACCGAAAAAACCTTCTCTAGTGCACTGGAACATACATTCACCAAAATCGTTCTAAAAATTAAAAGAAAATTAATGGATTATTTGAAAATATTCATATAAATATGTAAAATAACTAGGAAGGCTTCGCCTCCAACTTTAGATTTTTAGCGAACCTAAAAACCCTCGAGTAACAAGTTTTGGCCGAATCTAAATAGTTTTTATATGTGTCATCCGCCATTTTGAATTTTGAAAATCTGACTTCAGATTCGTAATCAGCGACCCCAAAAACCCCCGAGTAACAAATTTCATCAAAATCTAATGAGTTTTCTCCGAGTTACTGTTTTCATCCCTTAAATTTGAAAAGGGTGTTTTTATTATTGACATAAAAATTATTTTTAAAAAAATATAAATAAAATAAAATATATTGTTTATATTATTCACTTTAATAAAATTAATACCATTTCGTGTTAAAATAATCCAAATATTTAAAGAAATTTAGATAAAAAAAATTTAAACCTTAAAGTTGTAGATCACAAATGACATACATTTTCACGGGGCTATTTATGGATTCTTGTGATCAGACAGGATTCATGTAAACCTTGAATTGTAAGTCAACATTGCCCTTAAAATTGACCTAAATTTTGAAGAAAGAGCAGGTCAGAGGAGATTTTTTGTCAATTTTTGACGTGTAGGTCAAAAGCGCCCTTAAAAATGACATGAATTTTGAGGGCAGATGAAATTGTTTGTCAATTTGTGACATGTAGGTCAAAACTGCCCTTAAAATTGACCTACATTTTGAAGGCAGAGAAAATTGTTTGTCAATTTTTTGACGTATAGGTCAAAACTTCCCTTAACCCTTTAACGACAAGCGGTACATATGCTGTACCATAAAGAATAAAAAACCTATCTTCAAATAGGGTTAATATATTTAATTACAAAATCATATCTAGGGGTTTTCGGGGTCGCTGATTACGAATCTGATGTCAGATTTTGAAAATTCAAAATGGCGGATCCAATATGGCGTACCGAAAAGTTTAAAATTTAATGGATTTTCATGAAACTTGGTATGTAGGGGTTTTCGAGGTCGCTGATTACGAATCTGATGTCAAATTTTGAAAATTCAAAATGGCGGATCCAATATGGCGGACGAAAATATAAAATTTGCTGGATTTTCATGGAATTTGGTATTTAGGGGTTTTCGAGGTCGCTGATTACGAATCTGATGTCGGATCTTGAAAATTCAAAATGGTAAATCGAATATAGCGAATAGAAAAATTTAAAATTTGATGGATTTTTATGAAACTTGGTATGTAGGGGTTTTCTTGGTAGCTGATTACGAATCTGATGTCAGATTTGAATCTAGGGGTTTTCGATGTCACTGATTACGAATTAGATGTCATATTTTCAATATTCAAAATGTCGCATTTAAAGATAATGGATAAATTTTAGAAACTGTGTTAGGTCTTTAATAATTTTTAAATACGAAACCAAGTTACACTTTGCGTGACCCAGAACTAACGACGTGGACGTGGTAAGCCACTAGTTCCAAGCTACATCGGATTCATAATCAGCTACCACGAAAACCCCTACATACCAAGTTTCATAAAAATTCAACGAATTTTAAATTTTAGGTCCGCCATATTGGATCCGCCATTTTAAATTTTTAAAATCTGACTTAAAATTCGTAATCAGCGACCCTGAAAACCCCTAGATACCAAGTTCAATGAAAATCCATCGAATTTTTAAATTTTTCGGTCTGCCATATTGGATCCGCCATTTTGAATTTTTAAAATCTGACTTAAAATTCGTAATCAGCGACTCCAAAAACCCCTAGATACCAAGTTTCATGAAATTAACCAAATTTTAAAATTTTGGTCCGCCATATTGGATCCGCCATTTTGAATTTTTGAAATCTGACATTAGATTCGTAATCAGGGACCCCGAAAACCCCTAGGTACCAAGTGTCATAAATTTTGAATGGAAAAAAAAATTTGGACGTTAAAGGGTTAAGGGAAGTTTTACCCACTTTAGACGCACTAAAAAAAAGGCTATTTTCATTAATTTTTTTAATAGGTTTATATTATAAATATTTTCATGTGAGGTATCACACATCTTAAATACACTCTCAAAGTGCAAAAAAAAATATTTTGGACTGAATCCATTTCAAATCAGGCAGGTCGACTAACTTCAAGTTATAGATTTAGCTGTCGCTAAAATATGTTATTGTACATGAAAAATAAAGAGACACGTATTTTCTTATTTTTCAAAAAAGATAAATTTAAAGAAGTTACGCACATTTGAACTTTGAGTGGTAAAACTCGAATGAATAGTGAAAAAAAATTGTTTTGCTTGTCATTTTTTTTCTTTTGAGTATAATTTAATTTTCTTTCTTGGGTCTTGTAGATGGTCTTGTCCTCTTCAAAATCCAGTTTGAAATTTGAAAAAATATTTAAAATTATAAAAATAAGGGATGATTTTCTGAAAATAAATAAGATCAATTTTCTCAAAAACACCACCTTTTTTTTATCCAAATTTTTACTACAAGTTCTTAAAATAATTATAAACATTTCCTATGAATTTCAAGCGGGCTAAACCATTCTGGCAATCAGGAGAATTGTTTTTGAAATATTTATTTTCGCAAATTTTTAAATTGTTAACTTGCATTTTTAAAAACAAATGAATCGCTATAACATTGTTGACGTGAACGTTAACAATTCAAAAATTTGTGAAAATAAATATTTCAAAAAAAAATTCTCCTGATTGCCAGAATGGTTTAGCCCGCTTGAAATTCATAGAAAATGTTCATAATTATTTTAAGAACTTGTAGTAAAAATTTGGATAGAAAAAAGGTGGTGTTTTTGAGAAAATTGATCTTATTTATTTTCAGAAAATCATCCCCTATTTTTATAATTTTAAATTTTTTTTCAAATTTCAAACTGGATTTTGAAGAGTACAAGACCATCTACAAGGCCCAAGAAAGAAAATTAAATTATACTCAAAAGAAAAAAAATGACAAGCAAAACAATTTTTTTTCACTATTCATTCGAGTTTTACCACTCAAAGTTCAAATGTGCGTAACTTCTTTAAATTTATCTTTTTTGAAAAATAAGAAAATACGTGTCTCTTTATGTTTCATGTACAATAACATATTTTAGCGACAGCTAAATCTATAACTTGAAGTTAGTCGACCTGCCTGATTTGAAATGGATTCAGAATCAATAATGCCATTCTAAAAAGATAATTTTTTATTCGATAGATATATGACGCTTTACGAAAGACGATAGCAGAAGTTACATTTATTTTTGAAATATACTTACGAATTCCGAAACACCTTCTTCATTTACTGTATGAGCTATTACAGATTTTGTTTCTTGGTCGTGATAAAATGTAAGGTTTACTTTGTCCATAATCTATGTGTCATTATTAATTATTTTTATTACTATTTATTTATAGTAGAGGTTAGAAAATTAAAGTATACCAGATCTAACTTACATTATTTTGTGGAAAATATGTAAAATTGTTGCCAGTTTTTTTAGCTACCCAGACTTTTGTATTTTTACCAGCAAAAAATCCTTCTGCTGACTGTAAAATAACTTTTTTATTATAGCCACCTTTATTCAAATAGAGTGTTAATTCAGGAAGACCTCTTTTATGAATTGAATGTTTAATAGAAATAACTTCCCCTTTAGATTCTGAAATATTCAAATATGTAATGTTACTTCTTACATATTTACATTGATAAATATAAAATCTACTTGATCCAAATAAACGATTACTGGTCTATAATTATTATTATTATTTGGAAAAAGTTCCAGTGTGCACGTACTATAACTGTTCTAGACCAAAAAAAAGAACAGTGTTCTAGAACAAGTGTTACAATTTTATTATAGAACAGTTCTAGAACGTTGTTCTAAATTTGTTCTGGAACAGTTGTTCTGTATCTGTTCTATAACGAACATTTAACATTTTTTCTGAATTAGTTATAGAATTTTGAAGTAATATTGTTCCTACAATGTTCTAGAACACTGTTACAAACAATTAATAAAACTGTAAACACGTATTTATTTTCACTAGGGTTCATATATAAAACATACATTTATAATTTTTCTGTTTAATAAATATATTACAGTCAATTTATTATTTTAGCACTGTATATAACGGTCCCACAATTCAAAGGGAAGTTAAAGTGAAATCTCTTTCAAGCTTGCGTGGCTATGTGGTATTCGTATTCGACTTGTGTCTTCAAGGTCTAGGGTTCGATCCCCCGTGCGTGCGAAATTTTTTATTCTTAGTTTTAAGTGTCCTGTGTATAATTCTTAATAGTGTGACATAAACTATAAGTTTAAATAATTATTAACAATGATAATAATTTAGTCATTAATTTAAATAAATAAGATTGTAATGAAAAAAATAAGAAAAATATTTTTTTTAAACTCTTTTCAAAAAAAGCAATTCTATTAATTATTTATATTTTTATTCATACTCATAAAAGTTTTGTACTATGCAAGTATTAGCTTTCTACTTGGGAATTATTTTTGACAAATCGCTCTTGTTATAGAATTGTTATATATTTGTTCTAAAACAATGTTCTAGTTTTGTTCTAGAATTGTTACAGACTTTTGTTCCTATTTTGTGTCACCAGGGGGACGACATTTTGACCTACCTGTTCCTCACCAGTTACAGAACTTGTTCTTTTTGTTTTAGAATAGTTGTAGAATTGTTCTGTAACTTTGCACACTGGGGTGTGACTAAAGTTTTAAAATCTATTTATTTATACCTTCATTGTTTCCTTGATCAGTGAAATATTGTTGGGCCTAATGAAAAATATTCAATAATTATTTTATGAACCAACAAATTGTAATTATTAATTACTATATTTACCTTAACTGTGTACTCTATTGGGACAATGAGTGCACAAAATAAAATACAGGCGTAAATCATTTTCTCTTCGTTAGTAATTTTCGGAAATTTAATATAATGTTAAAGAACACTTAAAGTGTCAGGTATAAATAATTTTTGAATTCAAATAATTATACTTTTTTCATAAGTAGGAATGATTCGTTTTCGAGATCCAAAACAAAAGTCTAGGTTACAGGCTTGTGAATCCATATATATAATCTCAAAAGTACAAAAGTGTATTAGTGGAGGGTTCCCACTAGATTCTCACTAAGTCGAGAAATCGAACTATTTTATTGTCTCTCAGCCAATCTGCAAAGTTACATTTTCTACGCAGGTATTATGTTTATAAAAATATGTTTATGCATATACATTAGAAATAAATTTTAGTTTACAAATTATTGAATTGTAACTTGGAATGAACTTATCTTTTTTATACAATTTGACGATTAAGTAACATAATATTATTTTAAATTTTGTTTGAAAAAATTTTTATATTTTTCCAAAATGAGGTGAATCCAGTTGGAAACATTTACTGAAAAAATCCCTTTCCGTAGTTTTTTGAGGATTTTTTCCTTTATGAACCAATGAAATAATTTTTATTTTAATTAATATAACTAGTCATTAATAAGTAATAACTACCCAAAGGGCACAGGGACGTCTAAAAGACGTCCCTTTTTGTCCGCGGACAATTCGGGGACAATGATGGTAATGTCTCTGAGTCATCAAAAAGACAACTAAAAGATATTCTATGTCTGGTAAAAAGACGTCTTTTGAACAAGTGTGCCCACTGGATAACAAATACTATAATAAAAATAAACGTTTAAAAAAGATAACAAACGTCATGTAACTTCTGCTTTAAAAAACTTCTTTAATGCTTTTAAATAAATTAATTAAGAAATCAAATCGAAGTATTCCGAATAAAAATAAAAATTTAAGAGTAATACAAAAATTATAAAATTTACTGTAATTTAAAAAATGTAATATAATAAATTTAATTTTTTTTAAAATTAAAATATGTAGAAAAAATATTTTTTATTGTTACCCGCATAAAAATAATATTAATGCACATTCATACATTCATTAAAAGGAGTAATAATAAACTCAAAAAAAGTTTATTTTTTGACACGTGGAAAAATTTGACTTATATATTTACTGATATGTATAAAGTTTTATTTTATTCTATTTCAAATATAAATTTTATCAGTGACTAAAAAAGAAAATGTGCATTTTCAATTGTGTTACAAATACAAGTAGACTTTGGAAAATTTTTTTCAATTTTTTAAAATGATAAATTTTCGTGTAATGATATATATATATACATATACATATATATATACATATACATAAATATATATATATATATATATATATATATATATATATATATATATATATATATATATATATATGTGTTACAATACTAAAGTTTATTTTAATATTTTTTTTCAGAAGGTTAACTTAAATGTGTTAATTATATTGAAATTAAGTGTTACAATATCGAAACATGCCTTGAATTTGTTTAAATAGATAAAACAATTTACATTAAATATGATGAATAAGATAAAAATGGAAAATAAGTATTCTATACATTTAATTGAATAACTTTTATTATTCCTCTTATTCCTAAAATTTCTTAAAACTTTTTATCCAAATAATAAATTATTCTATGACAATGATTTACATTTTTATTAAACTTAGTATATTTTCTGCTCTACTTGTACAAACAAATAGGCTTAGCTTAGATAGAATAAATTAAAACCGCTGCCAAGTTGTACATTTTTATAATTTTGGTGTTCATTTCATGAACACTTTGCTTCCTCATAGAAATGATAATAATTGAAATATAAGAATTACTTTTTATAAAAGGGTTAAAAATCATTAAATCTTGGTCTAAAAAATGTGTTTTTATATATTCTATAAGATGGTAATAATAGTTTAATAATTACACATAAATTAATAAACAAGAATGTTGAAAAAATGATATTTTCCACAATTCTTGATTTTTCAAATACCAATAATTTCATAATTTCTGCCCGAATCAGGTTCAAAAATAGGTCAATCGAAGCGTTTTTTAATGCTCTTCAAGTTGGTAATAATTTTTTGAAGTTACTTTTACATAATTAAAAAAAAAATTTTAAAAAGTCTTATTTTCCAAAATTATTGATTTTTAAAAGTTTAATATCTCCGGTTAATATGGACGAAAAATGTTCAATTAGGGCTCAAAAGATGCGTGTGAAAAAACTCTACAAAACTAAAGAAAAAGATTTATAAGTGTCCTAACATTTTTTTAAGTTATGTCCAAAAAACGTTTTTTTACTAAATGAAAAATGCAAAAAAAAATAGTTAAACTTCATGAATCGGGCTGAAAATACTCTCATTTTATGTCCCCCGGGGAGACCTACAATTTAAAAAAAAATTGAGGCCTTTAGCTCTTTCTCGTTTTGAGATATTGAGACAAATGTAATGTTAGTACACACACACACACATCGGGACAAATTTTTAAAATCCGTTTTTTGGACTTCAGAGGTCAAAATACGTCAAATTTTTTTTTATTTATTTAGAACATTTATACCGGGAGTTCCTGTGCGTATATAAAGTACTAAAGTATTAGGCATAATAAAAAAAAATTTATAAATATGTCAAAAAATGACAAACCAAAATTTTGCTAATAGGGTAACTGTACCAATTGTCGAGGGTTTTAGGCAACATGTGACTTTGACATTTTTTTTCTCGGAAGTAAATGCACTTTAAAATTTGATTTTTGTATATTTGGACGAAGGATCTAATAATGTTTAATATTCATTATTATTTTTTTAATATAAACTAAATTGTTAAGCAAAAAATATATTTAAAAGTCAATCGAGCAAAAGCACCATTTGTCGATAGTCTTGTGCTAATTTCTCGAGGGTCTGTTCCAATTGTCGAGGGTATGACATTTTTAAACATATAACCCAATATAACCTAACAATTAACCTGTACAGATATTTGAAAATCAAGTAGATATTTATTTTTTCGATAAAAATATTATAGAACATTACCAGAAATCAAATATATTTATTTAACTATAATTAAATAATTTATAATATCGATATAAAACATTTTTATAGTAGACGATACAGGACAGAAAATTATTTGACTGTTTTTTAAACTTTTATAAATAAGTTAATTAAATTTAATCAATTTTGTTAATCAGACACTAATTGAAAAAATAAATTAATTTAAGTCACATTAAATTTGTAAACGAATAAAATCAACTTTTATTACGAACTGTAAATATAATGGTTAATTATAATTAAACTATAGTACAAAATTTTTTAGTTTTAAATAATGCATTTTTTTTATTAATTTTTTTTCCGTCTTCCTTGTTTTTTTTGGTTGATTATTTTCTGTTGGTTGTAAATTTTTGGAGCATTTTTTTTCTTTTTCTCTGTACCTATAAATGTTTAGTATTTATGTTTGACGTTTAGTAAATAAACACTTAACCATCGATAAATGGTACATCAGCGAAAAAAGTGACTACACCAATTTTCGAGTCATTACCTCGAAAAATGGAACTGTCAAAAAAAAAGGAACCAAATACCGATGATTTGCTTTTAAAAAATATTAAATATTTTTTTTAACAAAAAAACATGCATACAAAATTAATTTAGTTCGTGTACAAAATTATAATAATAATTTTGTACACAAAAAGTCATTATAAATACGTTTAATTTGCATTTCTAAAAATCTCTTTTAATCAACCTGAAGTATTAAGAAAACGGAGATTCGTGTAAATTTCACAGCAGTGAATTATAATATTAATTAAATAATTATTTTAGTAGAATCGCTACGAAATTTGTATATATAAATATACAGTTGAAAATACAAAGATTATTTAGAAATTTTTTTTGTTCTTAAATATTATATATTATACTATTTATCTAAAAAAGAAAATTATTATCCTCGACAATTGGAGCACCCTCGGCAATTGGTGCAGTTACCCTACAAAGCTTCCTTTATGAGGAAGCAAAATAATAAATTTTTAATTATTAATTAAAATAACCTTACTTATTACATAATTCAACATTTTAAACAGTAATAATGTAGTTAAAACAGATTTTAATAAGTACCAAAGTATAGGGTGATGTGGGGTGATGTGAAACATGGGGGGATGTGCAACACCGCCGATATCTGATCTACAGTTCGATATTGAACAGAGCCAAGTATTGCCATTTGTTTGTGCCCTCAGTAGCTTGTTTTTGAAATAAAACTCACGAGACAGCTCGCAGCTAGGTTTGCTGTACGAAAGTTGACTTAAATTTCTCGAGAAGGAAATATTTCTGGCGCTTTACGTTTCTAGTCGTTTCGTGAAGGGTTTTAATTTATTTTATAGATAAAAATGTGTTTATTGTTAGTTTTTTAAGTGTTTTTAAATATCTGTTTATATTTTGTGTTTCCATTACATTGTATTGCGTACAAATCATTTTTCGCAAAATATCATATTTGGGGTGATGTGCAACACTTTTTTTTGGGGTGGACGTAACTACTTTTTACGTGCCATAACTACGATTCACATGATGAATAAAAAATGCTTAGTTATTTTCCTTTAATTATATTTCTTATTCAGTCATGAATAAATAAAAAATTTAAAAAAAAAATTTTTTTTTACTTTGATGACATCTCTATTTTTTAGAGGTCAACTATACTTTAGTAAATTTTTTTTTGTCAGATTTCGATTAGTTTGCATTGAAAATGCCTAAAATTAATAATTAAAGACATTTTCATCGATATTTATGCATTACATACCTGAATTTTACTGGTGTTGCACATCACCCCAACTTTTTTGGAAAATGCAAAAACAGACGTTTTTGTAAAAGCGAAAAATTTGTAAGAAAAATTTTAAATTCTGAAAATCTAAGAATGCAGGAATATTCTATTATAATGCCTCTAAGTCATTCAATTTTGAAATACTTAAAAATTTAATTATTTGACATGTTTTTTGTCCAACGAAAAAAAACGTTGCACATCACCCTACGTCACCCTATACTTAACATTAAAGTTAAAATTTTGTTTGCAGTTTTAATTTATTCAAATAATTTGCTATAAAAAAATTAGAAAATAATGTTCACTAATATTAATAAATTGAATAAAAATAAGAAATAAAATATCAAGAATAAAGTCAGAGTAGAAAACACAAAACTCGAAACACACATAATTTTTTATTTATTGGCTTAGTTTTATAAATTAAATACTAAGAACTTCACATATATATATTTTACTTATACATGAAACATATTATTTAAATATTAATATATAATTCACTCAAGTTTTCAATTTTCTTATTTTTCATTAATCGTAAACCCATATCTGGCCCAGATTGGCCTATGGAACTATTTCCAAATAGGACAGAGATTAAATATTAACGTAATTAACTAAAGTTTTGTTCTTCTTTTCTCCTTAAGTATTTTTTTGATTTATAACAGAAATACTTTGTGAAATCCCAGTTTGGGCTCGAAAATTAAACTAAAGTAAAGGGTAGATATTATGTAGCTTATTTTATTTCGACATTCATTTTTCTACATTCATAATAGGGCTTTATCATTTTGACTCTAACTTACTCTTTCTTTTATCTCACTTTTATTTTCATAAAATAATTAGTATTTGTATCATATACGATTATTACTGTTGAATATAATAAAATTTCGAAATAAAAAAGATTTCAAAGTAAAACACCAAAACTGTAGTTAAGCTGCATT